ACTATCTAAGCGAGATGATATTATCTATACCATCGTGTGTGTGACAAGGAAAGAGTATATTTCGAGGGTGACGATAAGGTTCGTAAGCAGCTTTTAAGCCGGTATCTGCGCCCGCGTCATTTGCCTCCTAATAGCCCGGGATTGCCTCAATTTGAATCTGCCGATAATCTTTGTTTTGTACACTTTGTCTTTAATGGATCACGTGGACTGTCACGACTTAGAGTTTTTTTTAGCTTATAAGCAGTTCTTAGTATGTATTTATATAAAGTATGAAATAACAAATAAACCTACATTTTTAACAAAGAATATATGTGCAGGTCAGCTTTCTGTTAGGGAAATAATTAATTTCCTTATATATCATTATGCTTCATCCACCTTTAATAATTTTAAGTTTTAAATTGACTTAAGATTTGTACAAGATATCGTTTGCAGTACGAAAAATAGATCGGCAGGCACCATATTATGAATATAATATTTAAATCCCCATCAGTTATATATTTTGTTATTTGTTGTTATAATAACCCTACAATGTAGGTTTCTTATGTCATTATAATGGCAAACAAGCTGACAACCTTACTGATCGTAAGCTGTGACTATTGTCTATATATACTTACATGAATACCACTATGGACATCATGTTCTAATGTGACATTCGGGATACCAGTAATGCGTTGCCAAATGCTACTCTATAGGATTAAGATGTAATGCCTCTTATTCTGTAATTTTTATCTAATTTGCATCCTACAGCCGGAACAGCTTACAAAACAAGCTGCTTGAGTTCTGATATAAATATAACTGAGGTAACCACGCAGACGACTTTTTAATAGTAATAATAACTCTGTTTATTGTGCAAAACCAAATAATTATAAAAAGAACACTTTACATAAATGTGCTACACAAAAGGTGGCCTTATCGCTTAAATCACTATATTCGACTTTTTACAGTCTACCTCTTCAAATTTGGTGAACTATGTACTCGCATGTGCTATAATGCATCTCAATCCTCCCGAATATTAGGAATGACTATTTGCATATCAATATTTATTATCCCAATGAAAAGTTGATAACATGTGTAAATTGTTTAACAAAAAAATGGACTCACCAATTGTGACAAAATAGGATTTAATAGTATCGATTACAAAAACAATTATCTACTGCCGTGCAGATTTAGCGAAAATATCTCGTAACATAGACATAAAAAAAAATTGTATGAAAATAAGAACATTCTTTTGGCAGTCGCGTCGTTGACTAAAATGCACTTTAGAGTAGCACACATATTCTCCTTACTCGATGGCATTAGTGTAGCAAAAAATTAATGCCATGAAAACAGAAACTAAACGCGGAACAACAAGTTATGGTTAACACCCCTCGACTTGGTTTTTTGTTTGTGTGTATTTGGAAACAAAAAATTACCTTATGTGGTTTTTATGGTGCAGTATTGTTTTTCTGTTTATTTTAGCGCGCGCCGATAAAGCGGGACTAGTGAGCTAGTGACAGAGTTCAATCCTTTTCAAATACGAGGGGAGATATTTTACTACTTATTTGATCTTGTAAATAATATTTAATTTAAATAAAATTTACTGAACATTAATAAACGAACTCTAGAGCTCTCCCTCATGTTATTTTATAAACACTAACAAAATTTATTATTAATTACATCGTGATCTAACATATATATAAAACAAATTAATTTTAATTTTCTTTCCAATCTTGAGATTCAACTGGGACATTTATAACGGTCGAATTACTACTGTAATCTAGATAATATGACAAATTTATGCAAACATTGGTAATTAATAGTCATTTCCATTTTGATAGTTCAAATAGCACCTCATTTAGATTAATATTAACTATTTATTTTATTTGTCGAATTAACTTATTAATTATTCTATGGACGCAAATATTATTTAAATCTAAAGCTAACTATTGTTATCACTTTAATATAGGTTTTATTATTAGATATACTCATATATTCATCAGTTCAACCAATCACTTAATAAGAATATTTATTTACGCACATTTCACTAAGATATTATTATACTGACATGAATTTTAGGGTTAATTACTTATTTATATAAATAGCTTTATAATCAAATTTTCAATTTACTACTGCAGTTAAACAGATTTAACTACAATAGGGATACACATTTAATAAGTTAAATCTACTAAAGGGAATCGGAATGATAAGTATAATCATTCCGATAACAAAACTTAATTAGGGAATATCACATGTAAACATAATTTACTTTTAAGTAGACTGTCATTTATTGATATTTATTAATTTGTTTACACTCATCATAAGCAATTACGACATCTTACAACTCCTTCCTTATTTAATAATGTAGCTATGATTTTAAGTTATACAACTTATGTAATACAATGTAAATTACTTTATTCACAATGGTTATATTCAAATTGAAGATGCAGGTAGTCCAAGCGTTTTAAAAGTTAAGTTTGTTCACCCCTACTACCTTTGCCGGCGCGCTACGGGGTGCGAACGTCATTCAAGTGCATGTCGCGACGACTAGACCCGACCGGCCCCACATGACTCACACTTGTTCCTACATATTAGTCTTTAATTTATAACACGCACATATTTCAACGGTTTAAACCATTAGGGTGGATTAAGGAAGTCTCTAACGAAAGTAGGGTGGGTAATAATGTGACATTAAATCTTAAGACTGCCTAATAAATTAAGAGCCGTGAATCGTGGATTCTTTTGTGAATAATGCTCTCGTATTGCAACGGGTTTAATATTGTATGACAAGATAAATGGTTACATATGCATGTGATTGCTATTGTTACCTATTTGATAAATGAAACCGGATGTAAGCTCGACTCTCTAGCCTGTAAGCTTAGGTAATTCGAACAGTCGTTCTCTTAATTGAACAAGTAGATATCATAAGATTTAATTAATTACTTAATAGTGAAAATATATGTGTATGTAAATACAATAATAATTTAAAAGTTTTAGTTTAATAATCAAATATTTTTTTACAACATTAAGTAAATAAGGAACAGTAAACCCTATTAATTGTAAAAAGAGACATCAGAACACACAAATCAAATAGAGTTGAATTGAAAATCTAGTAGTGTTGATATATTAAACTTAATTTAAAGTATGCTATCTACAGCGCCCATATTCATTATATTCAAGCATCAAAACTGATTTTTAAAAAATGTTGCGAGACTACACATACGTAAGTATAAAGAATATTCATATGACTAATAGGTATTTATACGAACTGGTAATAGTTCTTATCTGAATGTAAATAAGTAGTTTTGTTGATCTGCAGTTCTGCACCTGTGCAATTCACAGTAAAAAAAAAACAATACATTTATGCGATAAAGATTTACATGCAGTGAAAGGTCAAAATAATGTGCCCCTTAGTACATAATATCAATGTTATATATCTGGTTCTTATTTAACTCCTTTCTAATATTACAAAAAGTTAGAAAACTATTATTAGAAAAAAAATTGAGTGATTTTATTGTTTACAAGTTTTATTTCTGACTCATTTAAGTGATACACACTCGTTTTCAGTAATTTACATATTTATCTTAATTAGGTAAGTTGGGTTGTGTAAGATATATTACAAATACAGATAGATTACAAAAGAAGCACAGAGATATTAGTCTGTTTAATTTTATTTAGTTTAGGCATTGTAATTGTAAGAATTGGGGCGATGCGTTTCGCGTTTAATAGTATCATAATAAGAAGAAAAAGATGTTTAAAATGACCTTACTTTTCACATAAGTAGACACACATACTTCACTTGCAGTATTAATGAAATTAATTAAAGAAATTCCAACATATCTTCAGAAGAAGTTATTTAAAATGCTCTCTTCAGTATTCTTAAATACTTTTATATATATATATAAAATTATTACTTTTATATATGTATATATACACACAAATGATAATGATACCTAATACCAGAGTCAAGCGCCGACCACACAGATATCTAAACATATAAATACACATAAGTTATAAGTATAGCGCTTTTATTGTATAAACTCATGTAAAATCTGTGCGTGGCATCTTTTATAGTATGCTCTGTCATATATTTTAGTTTTATGGCGAGTATTTGTGAGCAGCGAGGCTGTAGGTTGGGCGTGGGCGCTACTCCAGAATCGCAGCCCACGTGCCAACGATCGCAGATAGCATTGTCCGCTCGCGGCTTGTTTATGGTACCACTTCTCATGATAGCAGGCAAAATGACACTTCGCGTGCCGTAATCTCTTTGCCCTTAGCGGGCACCTTTAGATGAAGATCTGTTGTAGTAGCATATGTCTATTGTGGTAACCATGTAGCAAATACATATACATATATATTGAACAAATTGGGGGAGCAGAATGTTAGTAAGGCGATCAGTGACCTCAGACTTAACAACCCTGTCAAGTCAACCAAACATGGTCCCTTCAGGATACTTGTTGTCCCGTTAGCTCATTCTGTCATCTATATTTTCAAGATAAAGTATAGTGGAATATGGCCGGTGTTGCCAGTAATTATGTTTCTGACTAATAACAAATCAAAACTAATACAGAATAAAGCATGTCTTTTTCTTTGTTTATTAAAATTAAATAAGAGTTATTAAAGGTAGCACTATATTTACACACGAGCTTCATTTTTAATATTTTTTATTGCATGAAATAAATGGAGGTGGGTTCTCCGTGTCACATTGCGGTTGGAATACTTAATAAGCTTTCTTTTGAAATTGATGGCTCAGTAGCCGCCGTGTCCCAATCAAATTGTCCAAATATGATTAAAACAACCTTCCGAATAGTAGTAAATGAACTGGGCCCTTAGGAATATTTTAATGATGTATAACATCGGTAACTAATAATAATGATATGAGTTTTAATGTGTAGTGGAATCCGAAATATTCTTGTTAGTGACTTGTAGTAGTAAAGTTCTGATATGATTTCTCTTGGTAGGTTGGTTAATTAATATTACCTACATGCAGTTGTTTTATTCAATATTTTATTATTATTTTGCAGTGGCTTAACATCGAGTGCGGAGAGAAGTGTGACACCGGTGTATCTTCGATGTCGCGAGGGTACCGTGTCGTGGATGTACCCTCGTGGAGCCTTACGCATAATATTCCGTCCATCCCTGCCGGGTTATGAGCGTGAATTTAAGGTCTGCGTGCGGGTGATAAGAAGGCCTGATCCACCCGATCTCTTCCATACGTTGCGATTGAATGAAACAGGTAATTAAATCTATAAAAAATATCTAAATAAAGTGACTGATAAATTTCAAAGTTTATATAGGATACACATATTTATTACATAACTATACTTAAACTGATCTAAATGAAATCTAGATGTACAATATACTAGAATAATATGCAGATTGTGTGCCACAGAAATTAGGACGTACATTGTATTACGTATTATCATGTATCACATAGTAAATAGTCGCTTGCTGCAACTCTTTTTTGAAATACAAGTAGGTTAAATGTATTGTCGTTTTTATAATGTTTTATTTGATTTCTTTTTAATTAAACGAGTACTACATAAATAGCAAATTTTAAATTTCTATTTAATTTCAATTAGGATGGTAGAAAGAAAGTAGAGAAATGTTATATCCTATCTTTTTTACTTACAACATACGTGCCTTTTGCATATTTAAATTGTTTATTACGGAATAGTTTACATTGAAATATAAATTTTAAGTATTGCCATATATATATATTTTTATGTTAAGATAACCCAATCATTTCTTTATTATTGGCAGATTCCGTCGAGCGCTTTCCAGCGCGTCTGTTCATAGAGCGCACTAGGAAGCTGGTACCCTTGTATGCGCCGGACGACGGTGACCGCCGCGAACTTCGCTGTTTTCGAAGCAAACGAATTGAGGCTGTCCTTTACGTGGAGGCCGAGCCAGAGGATGGACTAAAAAAACGAGTAGCCACCTTCAGATATGAGGCCCAGCCTATAGTACACCGGCATTACGACCCCGCCACCGCTGACTGTCGACCCTGCTCCGAGTCTGAGATGGAACTCGCTTTTTGCACTAGCGATTTAGGTAAGTGTCTAAATCGCTAAATATATATATATATATATTTCATATTTATGTATAATAATAAATTACTTTAAATCTCGTTAAACACATGTAGTAATGATGTGGAAATTACATATTTGTCCTATACAACAGGCGTACAACTCAGATATACATATATATATGGATATAAGTCATAAAGGATATTAACGAGAAACCTGTGATAATATTAATGAAAATGGACAACTTTTCGCAATAATGTTTAGCCAATATTGAAAGTGATTCATTTAATAATAAAAGATCGTAAGGGCTTCGAGATGTTTTCTTTAACGTGACTTCAGTATATTTTCTTTACCCCGTAAATAAGAAAAAAAATACGTTTACCAAATGCAATTATTTAGGCATTCGATAAAAAAGTATCACGTAAAATAAAACCTTATCAAAAAGAGTTGTGTACTGATTTGGGTGTGTCGTTCATCCTACCTTATTAAGAAGATCGTTGTCATTACTACGCCGCTCCAGTAATGGGTAAGCAGAAAACCAGGAGCCGCTGAATGTTAATAAACTCGCACCGCGCCGCCTCTGCAATCCGTACGGTAATTTGTCGCCATAACACAGTCTTCTCTGAAATAAAATGTAAATTTATTAAACCTTAATTTATGTTAGTAACTGTGCAAGAATTTCGCTGACTTAAAAATGCTTTCCAACGTAGTGTCAATACTCGTGAAGGTACTGAATAAGTAAAATTGTTTTAAAATAGTAGTAGGTAATCTATTCCTAATATTTATAAAAATAGCATTATGCATTCAGCATTTTGCAATATTTTGAAAGAAATAACAAACAAATTTATGTAATTCCATAATTTAAATTTCTTAATACAGTTTTAATAGTTCTGCAATATTGCCTCTACATTGCCAGTAATTGAAATAACTGACACAGCTCGAGTATTACTACAATTTCTGAAATTGTTACTTCAATAAAGTTACGGACTTATATTCACAAATATGCCTGATTTAAATAGGAGTAATTACCCTATTGACTGCTAAAATAATTGATAAAGACGCCTGTATCGTGCACATATCACATTTTCTTTTCGTAGTACGTTAAGAATACAGTAAATGCACATGTGATATTTATAATAAAATATTTATCAGCATAGAAGTAAGTGAGTGCGTGTGTAACCGGTCAGGAGTTACGGAAGTTTTTGTATGCAACGGGAGTTACATGCGGCCAGACAACTATATAGACTTTACGGTTGCATTTAACTGGACGTGATAAGTCTACTAGATATACTAGTATGGTGATGGAGGCAACAGGCACGAGCGCGGCGCAGCGGGGATCTGATGTTCAGTTTTTTATGGTCATTTGATAAATTATAATAGTGTAGAGTTATGTCACAGCGAGCGCTCCCCGCGGGGCGGTGGGCGGCCGAGGCGATCCCGGCGTTATTAGCCGCCTCCGCCGGGTATCATTGAAATTTTTGTTTGTCATGCCATATAATAATTATTGATAGTTTTTTATACCACAAACAGACGTCACGGAATACATTTAGAAGTTGGAAATGTGATTGAAGAAGATTGTAGCACGACAATTGTATAATAATGTAGATGTAGGATTGTTCTTTATACCGATATTGGTAATGTGAAAGTTCGTACGAGTACGTATACATATTTCGAAGTTTGTTACTGAATCACGCTTAAATAACAATAATCGTGTATAAGAAGAAAATTTAACAAAATAGATCATATCCTGTAGGATGTTGATGTTGATGTACAACATAGGATCTTTTCAACGAAGGGCAAGGTGAACAGTTAGGTGTTATGTCAATTTTAAAAATATAATATATAACATATACATTTATTTAAAAAATGTGTCTAATGGAAATTTTGTTCCGCCTTGTTGTAATCATACATGTATAATTTAATATACTATTTGTCTTTGTATTTGTATAATATGTACCTATACATATATCTATATGTACCTAAGTCCAGAGATAGAACACTCTTTAAGGTACGAACCACCCCGTTTTCTCTATTGTATGAGCAGCGATTTGTTATGCTTTTAAAACCATTTCTGAAAATTGTAATAATATCTAGAAGATTTTTATGAGATATTTTTTTGTAACTGGCCGGCTTTTTTCATATTATGTTCTAAGCGTGCGATAGATTTCAGTTATACACATGTTGTTGTATACAACTATATGTTTCCCACATTGTATTTACTCTACAAGCTAATTGTAGAGATAGACGTGATAGTCTGATAGGTCGTTAGTTAAAACCTTCGCCGTAATTATAGGCTGTCCGGGCGTGGTCGGCGGGTTGATGACCGTTTACTAAAGACTTTTACAACTATTCACTTATCTCGCTCAAACAAAAGCCTTGCGTAGGAAAAAATACGGCTACATTTGCGCTTACTCATGGCAAAGCAAAAAACTGTTGCGACGCGGACAATGGCGACATAGTGATTAATACTTAACAAATCTATATCTACTGTGTTCGGACCGCGACGTTTTTGTTCGTTGTAAAAACTAAATGGCATCTATATGGGGTGACGTCATTGTCTATTAAAGCCATTATATGTATCATTTGGGAACTAATAACTGCCAATATCTTATTGATCTATTGGTTTGAGTACCGGTAATGTTTTTAGTTTACATTATTCCAGGACAAAAGAAAGTTGACATTTATTTATTTAACTCTGTTATAGTATACAAACTATTAACCAAAATAATTATAGATTTTTCTAAAACAACACTATCAATTACATACCTTCAACATTTTGGTCCTTCCAGCAGGATCATATTATTGTGTTGTGAATTTGATCTTCAAACGTATACATAAGTTTTCCCGTTTATAATATTAGTTACATTATTTATATTAGAAACTTTTACTTAAAGCAGTAATATGTTGTTGCAGTGTCTCGAGGTGTGATTATAAGCAGCGAGCCGCGTGAAGATTTGGACACCACACAACTGACAGTCAGGTTGACTAAACTTATACGTGCCACGGGTCGCAATGATGAGCATAAGGATGATTCAGAAGGTGTCGGTGATGATGATTACTATAGGTGGGTACCTAAATATTTCGATATACATAATACACATATAGATTGTCATCGTATCTGAATCGTGGTTTGGGAATGATGATTGTTATTAAAAACCGTACAATGAACATCTAGAGGATTAAACATCCGAACACGTTAAAAATTCACGACATCTTTGAATGCAAGTAAGTTGGAGTAAAAACAACGTATATAGCCACCATATAATCACGATGCTCTCACGTAGCCCGGTGCTTCCTCTAGGTGTTGATGAATGGTCAAAATACAAAAAAGTATATTTATTTATTTTCATTAGGTATGATGTAGACAACGTGCTAGAACGCAGCACGCATCGCAAGAGCGCTCGACGACGTTCGCGCAAACCGCGTAATCACGAGCACGGGCTGCACGCGCACGTGCACGTGGCAGCGGCGTGCGGCGCGGCTGCGGGCGCTGGTGAGTTCCTCGTCATGGCACGTCGCCGCCTCGGACGGTACTCGCTCGTGTGCGCACCGCGCCTGCACCACTGGGAACAGCTCGTAAGCAGTAGGAACGCAGACGGAACGGCGCACTGCTTACTGCAACATTGAAGAGCAAACGGCACTAGCGTATGTTCGTATACCTTCATAAAACAAATCAAAAGTCAGTAGTTAACACTACATAGAAGGATGTTAAAAAAATGTATAGACAAGCTCATTTTGACAAGCAACATGTGAACATGTGTTCCTTATATTAATATAGGGATCGCAACACCAAGTTAGTGTGTCGTCTACATACGCAATTATTTTAATACTAGTTTTGAAATTAAGCTTCAGATCTCTTTTTTATACGAAAAAAGGTACAAATACTTGCCACAATTTCCTATGCGTGTTGTATTTTAGTGAATAAAAAGTACCCAGACCGTATACCTTATTAACATCATATCCACCAGATCCACACACAAGCTTATAGATAATATCCGTTAATGCGATATATTTAGTACACAAGCATATATGTATTTGTTAGACTACGTAGTTTATGTTGTGGATTGAAAGTGCATAGAAATGGAATGTTGGTACCGTGATAATAATATTAACAAGTGGTGACGTAAAGACAGGAGGACAATCATACCTACGAACAATAAATGTTGAGTTTCTATTAGAATTTTATTGATGGTGATAATATTTATAATTTTAAAAGAATATGTAGCTATAAGGATAGCTTTAGATTTGTATAGTAACGATTTGGTGAAACCTCAAAGTATTTGTAATATTTTTTCAAATTAAAATAAAGTAATGGCGTTTCATCAATATAATTAGCGTATAATTTTTTTCATAAAAAATATAATACATTATGTAATTAAAGGCAAATAACATAATATGTACTTTCAAAAGTATTACAGAACAAATATTAATGAGTTGAACATAAAACAAATACATTGCCAATGTTCAATATCCTATTATGACATAAGATAATGCTATTTGTGCTTGCCATAACTTAGTTTAAATGCAATATTGTACAAATAAATTTTATTTATCATTTAAATGTTTATATATTTTATTGTAAATCGTAATGTGGTCCAGAGTGCCAAAATTTATACAGATCTTTTTGTAAGTAGTTGTAAGGTTGATCTCATCTCTGTACATATTGTATTAAATATTAGAGCAATATTTTGATAGCCATATTAGTATAGTATATTTTTAGTATGGTATCTACCTTCATGTACTGCACAAGTATACGTTAACATATAATAATATTCATACATATGCATTAAGTCCATTGGTGCTATCAGATTATAATGAACTGGATATTTCCCGTGCTTCCAGATTTAAATATATTTTAGGATATTGACACACTATAACAGATTGTTATATTATATAGTTTATATTTTGGTGTTTTTAGCAAACGAAACAATAATCCATAGCCCGTTATCTCGATTCTGGCATGTAGTTTCTGACAATATATATATTTCTTTTATAAAAATTACTAATAGAATGTGTGTCGTTGGATTGTGACTCTGTACTTCCGCATTATAATTAATTAGAATGACACAATTGTATATTTAATCGATTTTATAATATAATAAAACCAGTAAAATATACAAATTATCTTATAGCACAGCTTCATATATCAATACAGAATTAGAATGTAATATATATAAATTCATATTATTATATACTTGTGAATATTATTAATATAAATATTTGTATAAAATTAAGTTAAGTGTCGACATGTGATATAGAATACAACGATATTTTATCGAAGATATGTCTATTGTATATAAACAAAATAATATTGACGTTTAATATACTTGTACGAACAACAAATTGTTGAATAAAATAAATCTGAAATTACATTGTTTTATTATTTATTTTGTGCATGCGTATTATTGTTGGGTGTACCGGGAAATGATACGTTTAGATAAATATAGCAATTTGTTTATTGAAAAAAAATCACAACTGATAGATGATACCACATAGAAAAACTACTCGGCACGGTTTAACTCTTAACTATATATAATATCACATAAACATTTTATAATTTGATAAACTATGTACATACATATATATATTTACTCGCTTTTGGTACAATGCTAAAATGGTTATAAATCACTAAGTGATCATACCAATCATATAATATAAAAGAAATCAACATAAAGTATATATTTTTTTGGGCGATGAACAAAACAAAATTAACAATCATAACAAAAGATATTTGAAATAATTATACTAACGATATGTACTTACAAAATTGGATCGGAATTGAACTCTATTTGCAATCATAGACTGAAGTGCCATTCGCTGAATATTTAAATATTTTCAAACTAAGTTAAATTTGAAATAAATTTAGAGAATGGTATTTCAGAATCTGCTTAATACATTTACTTTATTTTTAAATATTATATTCAAATGGAACCCTAAATTACATACTTTAATAACATGTCTGCGTAAGTATATCTTATTTTTTTTCTATAAAGCTGTTTGATAGAAATCTGTAGTAGTAATTTAAAGTAAGGAATATACTCGTGAATGTAGTTTTTTTCTAGGGGAGTTTTTTAATTAACTATAATCGGAAAGGTAGCATTTCCTACTTTTGCAAAATAAAAAAGATTAATCAAAATATACAGTTGGAGAGTTTCTTAATTATTGCGCAAGTCATCTCAAGTTGCAGAACAGGACGGTGAGAATAGTGACTAAAACTTGTAAAAGTGTACAAGTGGCAAAATATATCCTACATGAATAACTGATTTTGATATTGCCGTTGGGGTATTTAAACACCAAATAAAAATAACTCATTCCACTCACTGCATTAGTACCGCATCAGGGGAACTATCATAATTTATTCTACATCACGATTATATCCTTACTTTTAAATACATAATTTCTCACATATTATGCAGAAAGATAATTATAGTCTCGTACATATATGTTAAAGAAGGAAAAATTTCGTAGAAGAGGATCCAACATCAAAATAGATAAACAGGTACTTCAATCATTGTGATATGTACTAGTGGAAATTTGAGAATGTTATCTTAATATTTGTAATGAATTTATTATATTTGGTAACGACAGCAAATACCGAAAATATTAATACGTATATGAATAATATTGATCCAAAAATTTCATAAGACCTCATTACGCTATACAAGCGGGACTGTTCAAAAGTGCAACAATACTTATCGGTATCTATAATATTTTTGGCATTATATCAGTGAATAACAAAAAAAGCAACATTACACAAAAGGCAGATAAAATAATGATAAATATTATAATTATACAAAACTGGCAATCTGTTTTCTCCTGCAATATAAAATCGCTCGCACCTTTTTACTTTACAGTAATATTTATTTTTCCATTATAAATTCGATTGTTCTAGATATTATTCAACCTGCCTTCCGCTCATTATAGTCAAGATACAAAGATAGCAAATTCTTGAGCAAGTTATTATCAGCCTTTGAAATTCATATTCTTATATATTCATACCTTCCGTGTAACATATGAAACAGAACTATACCGTATCCTACGCACCAATTTATATTCAGGAAACATTGGCATACCTACGGTTTATGCGAATTAAATCATAACACACTAAAAAAACATTTTCTGGTTTTTTTTTCTTCAGTATAGAATTGAAATATCTTTGCAATAAGTGTCGATCAAAATAATATTATCTATTTGAAGACTGCATATTTTTATACAATTCTAATAAGTAAGATATATTGAGTAAACACAAATACCACACAACAAATAAGTGTTCCTTATTTTGTATAATACGCATACGTAGAATATAATTAGACGAACGCGTAATGAAAAATTTCTTACTTTCTCGACACAATCAGTAAAATTATATTGTGCGATTTAGTCCGAAATAAAACAAAATCCAAATAAATCATTAATTGATACAATAAATATTAAATTATCTATAGCAAATAAATGCTTTTCACAATGTTGAAAGATATACGACACAGATATTAATACAGATAAAAAACCCCACCAAGTATTTTAAAACAAATGTGGTGCTTTAATAATGTGAAATTATTATTATAGTGAATTTGTAGTTACAAAAATATTGAATATTTGATATTAATATAAAGTTTGAAAATACATTTTTTTTCATATTCATTCACATTGGTTAGATATAAAATTTGATAATCCAATTAGAAGTAACAGGTGTAGACGCAATTATTGTCAAAACATTTATACTACCGAGAGGAAGCTCATTGACTTGAAGTTTGTAATGGTTTGTTCAGACGGCGACAATTTTGCAGCGCTAAATTCTATCCGCCTGCGTTGTTATATAAAGAATGCATTGTCTTCACCAATTTTCGCTCAAATTTATCACTAAATATATAATTTTGCACCAGTGATCTTTGCCTTTTTATTGGCATTCTACAAGACTACTCATTGGGAATCTGGGAAAGATGGGGCTTCAAAACTAATACAATGCCAGGAATCGACCTATAATATATCACGAAATCAATCGTAGACGGTGAGATTTTGAGCTGTCAAAATTGTTACCGGCAAAAGCGGTATAAATAGCTATTCTTCTCTGAAAGCACGAAATGTGATGATTAAAGATAATATATAAAAAGCGTAGGCCACATACATCACTAAGAGAATAATGGATGCAGAACAAAACAAAACAAATCTAAGGTAGTCGTGATTTAATATTGAGTAGTATAAAGCAACTCCATCACGTTCATACGGTTATAATGTAAAATGTTTTTAAATCAAAGGACATTTACGTCAACATTATTATTGTAATTTCAATTTGAAGATTTAATTTTTCATTTTAATTATAAAAAAAATAAACTATAGCTACATAAACGATGGCCTTGATATTTGCATGGCAAGATTAATCATCAACATGATAAGAAAATTTAACAACCGCAAGAAATAGTTTGTTAAAACAAATGTAATTGACGATCTTATAAGGAATCATTATTTTTCTCAAATAGGATACTAGGGACATCCATTGTCTACACATTCCTGTTGTGTCACATATAACATGTCTACTTTGGTTCCTTATGTATTTCTCTGTTTATTGCAAACAATATAGAACATATACCGACAATGCCCAAATTTTATTGACAGATGACCTAAATGTCTAACATTAAGTAATTTTAGACATATACATTTAAAATTACAACGATTATTTGTTATTCGTATTATGTAAGGTCAAATGTGGTCAGGTCGAGTGTTAATATCATATTTTTAACACGATACGTATAGTTAACATTGACTACCCTATCTGCGATTACAAAAGAGAGCACAATAATTATAGATAGATAAACGGGAATGCCTTCTCCCTGCTGTTTATTTTAGTTTATAAAAAGCCATGTGACTTACAATAAAATGACACACAATGTTATTACTAAAAATGGAGTACAAGCATTAGTTGGCAACAAAATAGTTAATTAATATTTTGGCTTCTTATGAACATTGTTTCTAATAATCATATCACTTTGTAAACACAAAAATAAATGTACCACAATACCAAGTAATTACTAAATACACACTTACTGGGTAAAAAAAAAACCAATAAAAAGTAATCATGCTCATATTATAAAACATTACACAACAATTTAACATAAAAAATCTAGCTAATACTCTAAAATTAACCACATCCATATTTTCAACAGACCTCTTCATTAAACTTTAATACATTTGTTTTTCTAACTTTTATATTTACATACAACGTGGAAAAGGTATTCAACATTCGGAACGAAAATAATTATTTACATTCTAAATATTTTCTAAATATAAATGCTAAATGTGTATGTACCGCCGTACATTAGCTAAACTAGTGATGGCCTCACATTTATAAGACGCCAATCGTTGCACGAAAACGGTACATATTCAACGCTTAAAATAATAATTTGTATATATCCAATTCGTATTCAACGTAAACCGCAATAATATTAATATTTCTATATTATTGGTTTGCAATGTTTACCTTTTTAAACATACCTTTTAGGTTGCTATAATAAATTATAACTCTTTTATAAATACGTAGTGTTCTGTGACTTCGTACTTTTGTAGATCGCCATATATTGATGATAATTAAACGGCAATAATAAAAAAAAAACTACGACACAACGCCATTTGTTGTTTACTTAATTATTTAAAATAGTAGGCGGCGTATTGAAGACAACATTTGTAAATTTTATTGATAGTCATAGATATACAATTCAAATATATATATGGCTCCTTTGACATATTCATTATCGCCATATAGCCCATTTTATACCGTTACAATATTATTTATCATACAAAACCTTGTTTTACTACTGTGCAGTGCCAACTAGTGTTGTAGCTAGTAGCCCGTCCCAGCTTCGCTTGGGTGCCCATATTTTTTTGAGAATTGTATATATTATAATAGTGACACAGGCTAATACCATGGCGTTTAATCGAAATCGATGGGCGTAGGCGTCATGACGTCAACGATAATATCCTCCATGTTGGGCAGTACGAGAACCTTTTCGAATTCCTTACTGAGCTTCTGTTCGATCCAGTTGGAGATGTGAGCGAAGCGTAGAGTTCGTGCGCCCACCGCCGGCCGCGCTTTTAGCACCAGGTGTGGGTTTGTGCTAAACCTGCCGTATTATTATATGAAATTAATAATAATAATAATTTATTCAGCTTAGTAACACTTAGTACTTAATACACAGTTCAAAATATATAAGAACTAAAAACTAATATTGCGCTATAAACTGAAAGGACCTCAACTCAGCTACTGTATCGGTGCAGCGCTGATTTTTTATATAAAGACAGATATAAATAAGTTTCGCTCTCCTTTTGGGAAAGTTTGTTTATCTCTAATGGGAAATATTGTTACATTTTTATGAATATAGAATAGCAGACTTAGGGCTACTTTAGGACTAGATGTTGTTCCTTGTATCCTGTAATTTACTGCCTTAACTAGACCCTTCAACAGAAACACATCTTAAAAAGCAAGCTGTTGCAAAACTGAAATATATGAGACTTAGGTAGCCACGTAGACGTTTTAGAAAATCCGGCGTTGTATATAATTTCTTCGACAATCGAATATTGCCAATTCTAGGACTAAGGTTGTCATAACAAACAGAAGTGTATTTATAGCTATATTGGTTACAATTAGAGATTAGTAAGTTTTTATTCGTTTTAAACGTTCATTAAAAAATACGCACCCGATCCAAATCCGATCATGTGGCGGAGGTGGCAGGTTTACAGCGAGTCGGCCCTCCAATCCTTGCAGTTCGAGTTGAAGTTTGATGTCTGTGTTGGACAAGCCTTCCATTGCCCGTTTCACGTACTTATAATCCGTCACCTACACATATATTTTATAAATACATACTACGATTTTATATTGTTGTGTTATTATAAAAACCGGTCAAGAAAATGTCAAACACACGACAATAATATTTTTATAGGTAGATCAAAATATAAATTCTTATATTTAGCATCTTCGTTTTAGTTTTTTTTTTATTTTGTTATACCTAGTGTTTTTGTTGTTTAAAGTAATGTAATTTTATTAGAAATGTTGAAATTAAAAATCAGATAACTTAGGTATATACAAAAATACAATAGAAAATGTCTTGTTTTACAAAAGCAGTTCAAAATAAAATAAATAAAATAGTTTTTTTCGATATATCTAAAAGTTTTACCTGTTGAAAATATTTATTTGTTGCTATTTTATCAACCATTCTTAAAAACTTCTTTTTCGATGAACCTCCTTCAGTTGTTGTAGACCTAAAAGAAATTAAAGACAATGTATTAAAAGTGACAAATAAAAAAGCGGTATAGGGTTCAAAATAATAATTTAATATTGGCAGTTAATATTTACATTGATACGTCGTACGTTTTATTTATATAAATTATTATAGGACTATTTATAGTCGTTTAAAGTAAAAAAGTAATACTATTCCATTAGGGTTATACTCTATCCTATATGCATGTTTCTGAATAATATAAAAATAATATATTGCAGTAACAGAAAGTTCAATAAGCATCATATCAATGAATTATTATTATTAATAATAATAATAGTAATTATAACTTTGACAACTAAATGTAATGTCCTGTACGTAATAAAATACGACTTACGCAGTATCCGAGAGTGGTATGTTATCGGCGCTGTCAACAGGTTGTAGCGGCGGACTCTCGTCGTCGCTACTTGACTCGGCTGAATCTTCCACTTCCGAATCATATATAGCTGGTTTCCGTTTCTGTATAAGTAGAAAGAGAGACAATTTTAAACCATTTCCGATCGGATGTTTTGGTATACTAGTTTTGGTCGAATGTTATTTATAATAATGACGGTAGATTTGACATATCATAAGAGTCTATAATAGACCTATATGAATACAGATATTTTAAATTTGAATATAATCAAGGAGACGATGATTGCTTGTGAATGATATCAGACAGTTTACTATAGTCTGATTAATAACATAACCCTATGTATAGGGACACGCTATCATAGTCTATTCTTGGGTTGTTAATTAGTCTAAACGATACTAACCCTCAATTGTTTTTCAGAGAACACAACGCCAGTCACCGACGTATTCAAATCGTTTTCTACAACGTTTTCGTTATTTGCTAATAGTTGGTCTTCTAACGTCAAATCTGTAATAATTAATGAATAATCTCTGTAATTATCATTAGAAACATAGAAGTTCTCAATAAAAAAGGAAATATTGTAATGTTTTCAAGAAACATAACTGTATATATAAATAATTTCTAAAATGACTAAGATATATTATAAAAATAATAATAATTCCTACAGTGCTATATAGTCCCAAGCTAAGTAGAGCTTGTATTATAGGTACTAGACAACTATTATAAATACACAGATATACACATTTCGTATTCAATGAAAGAAGTAACTGACATTGTAATAGATTAGTTTGGACACTGACTCTTCTTGAGTTTTATTACACTCTAGGGAAGAATATCTATAGTAGTAGTAAACAGTAAAGGAACAAATGCACACTATTTTTTCCGCTAGAGCTTCATTACACTCAAGAATAAATCTAACTATAGTACATGCAGTCCTCGTCTTACGGCACGTTAGGTTCTCGAAATACACGACGTAAGTCGAGACATATTTTTTCATATGTTTACATGTAAAACTCAAGAGTTAGGATCTAAACTAACCGAAAGAACTTAACAAGCATGTGCGGGGTTATCCCTGCTCGACTGATCCCGCGCTTCGCCGGCCTCACGGACATTGACCTCCCGACAAGTCAATTATCTTATGCCGGAAATCGAAACAATTGACGTACGTTAGTGTCAAAACATTGTTCGACGTAACTTGAAAAGACGCAAGTCGAGGATTGCTGGTATATAGTAGAGCAACAAATCCTAAAACACTGACTCTTCTCCTTGAGCTTCATGAGGTTGAGCTGCGTGAGTATGGTGATGTACGCGCCGCCGTCGTAGCGCAGGTCGGCGTCGAGCCACACGCCGCGGTCGTCGCAGCGCGGCGCCGCCACGCCCTGCACCAGCGGACACGCGCCCCGCAGCGACAGCTCCGTCACCACCAGCGGCGACATGAACGCCGGCAGCTACCGTACCATCATACACAATCAACTGCTGCCATTCGACACATTCTTTTATGCACGACCAGGACCGCGCGTGATTTAGTATAGGAAAGTCAGCGCGCGCGATCGTTACGGATTGTATTTTACTTATTTTTTGTCATCACTCTTTCGTGCGTGATAGCGGTGATCAAACGCTTTCAAGTTATTACACTTTCTTTTAAAATTTATTTTTTATTCCACATATTTTATTTTCAAAAACACATGCAAGATTTATAAATAACTATCTTATCTCTTTCTTATTAACTAATTGTCTCTTTGCTCTATAATCAGATGTCCTCCATATTTTTTATATTAATTGAATATTATAAAAAAGCGCTAAAGAATACACTTTTGTCGCTCACTTTTGATATGTCCTGTGACTTTTAGACAATTAGACATTATATTGTGTATCAAACGACACAATGGCATAAACGAGAGGCTAAATGCTATATGATATGATGTAACAAACGGTTATAGTTAATCGTTCTCATACACCGTCTCATATATATGTAAAATGGTAATTAATAAAGATTAATAATAATATACGTAGTCTAGTTATATAGCGTAATAAACTATGCTTTAAAGAGGATGATATGATAATATAAAGATATTATAAAACTTTATCTTGACAACAACAATTCTCAGAATATTATCTAACGTTAGTCGAGTATGTGCACTTTAAAATATGTATCAATTTCAAATTATGTCTATGCAATTGATTATTTCAAGAGTATATACATCTATTATGGCAAATTGATACAAATAATTTATTAGAAAATCTTTCAAAGTTCTATAAACTGTATGTAAATTGTTGACGAACATATAACAAACTATTGTATATCTATTATAGTTAGAATAGGTTTAGATATTAATAGTCACTACATACCTTGAGGGTGTTTAATTTCCTCTGAATGCGGCTTTGTAGTTTGGTGATCATGATGGGATCCCGCATCACGTCAAATACGAGTCGCGCCAACAGTGTGTTCACCCATGATATTTCAGCCGGCAGCGAGCGGCACTCGCACTCCCGGGTACCGCTTTTTGCCTGTTCGTATTGGTTTATTACAATGTGTAGTAAAATATATAACTATTGAATGTATTACATGGTACCTTAGTCCCAAACCAAGCAGACCGGGACGATACAATAGACAGATATACACACAGATTTTTACGTACTATCGGATTACATTTTGCATAATAAGCAAAAAAGCTGACATTACACCTGACGGTAAGTGGCACGTGGATAAGTAATACATAAATGCCCTGGTACCACTCACATTTTGAGGATTCCAGAGGGCTAAGATATCATGCTTTAGTATCTGTAATGATGAAAGCTTGTCATGAGTATAATTAATATCATGTATCTGATATCATAATATCACATACATTTCGATAATGAATTCTATGAACTTATATGAATATTTCTGCTCTCTATCAATATTTTACCAAGTTTTGCTATGATTATTAAAATTTAGTTAATTAACAATACCAATTCATGGGACTATTCGTTAGGTAATATGCATGAGCAACACACTTCAGTTTTTCTCTTCTTTTTATTCTTAGAACGCTCATGAGGTGTCGGTTCTATCTGACACGTAACGCCCACATCCGATGTCTGTTTGTATGCTGTGTCGTGCGACTAAAAAATTGTGATATTTAATTATTATAAGAAGCTATGTACAGTTTCATATACCGGATGACTTTTACCGTGCGAAAATAAATGTACATATTAATACATAGGTACATGATTGTGAAGTTATAAACATTTATTATTTATGGTCTTTGGCGGATGTCCGTTTCATTGTTTAAACTGTTCTCTGGCCTGAAACTTAGTTTCAGTCCGTCACTATCGTGTCATTGCAGATTACTACTTACTGTATTTTTAGCAATAAATAGAAATGGCTCTCTACTGATAGTAATGGTACTTTAGTTGACTACCACTATAACGATTTTATTGTATACAGCATATATTCTTCACTTTCTCCAAACGGCAAGAAAAGTCATCCGGTATAATAAAACATTAATATAAATGTTTACCTGTATAATTTTGAGAAGATATGGCCAAAAATTCTTCTCGTATGTCTCCATATCGAGCGACAATGGCTGTGATGATGTTGTTATCGTCACACCTTCTGATACCGTGTCGTTTGTTTTATTCTGCAACGATATAAATATATTATAATATATAGATAGGTATAAGAATTACACTACATTAATCTTACTATTTGTGAGTAATATGTAATTACGTTATAACATATATCTGACTCTACTTTACCAAACTTTGTTTTTAAACTATTACTGGTTGCAATATATTAAATAGTTAGAATAGAAAATATTAAATAAACATATACAACTGATTAAATTAAGTAATATTTAAGATTTAATGGACAGCACTGACAAATGAAGTGGAAAGGAAAAGCATGATTGACCATGTGTAAATGGTACATATCAAGTGAATTGAACGTTCATGACAAACAGTATATAATATTAATATATAGTACATCAGTATGTATCAGTGACATAGTATTATTGTTATTGGTACTAAACTTACAGTAGTCTTGGCGAATGCAACGGTGTCCTTCTCCGATAGCTTATAAACTGCCATTTCGATTCCGTCCTTGCTCTCTGTTACTGGCTCGCTGACCGACTTGTCTTCAGCTGCAGATGTGTCAGCAGATGCATTCGCCTCTGATATGGCTATGTTCAGTCGCCGAAACCTTATATAAAAGTATACGAATAAAAGTTTAATTAAACATTATAATATTTAATTAAATAGAATATTTTTTCATAATAATTTAATTAAATAGAATATTTTTATGTAATTAGAATAGCAAGCTAGCTGACGGTCCAGCTATTGATATGTCGTAGCCATCACCTATGTACATGACTTACACAGATATACATCATGCGTTGTTATTCTTGGAGAGTCCGAACTAAGATGTGATCCCCGTATTCTGTAATTTTACTGTCATATACTTCAAACAAAACACTTCTTACAAAACAAGTTCCTAGGCGGCTAAAATGGGTGAGACAGATGACACCAAATGATGACTTTATTCAAAGATAATTAAAATGAGTAAGAATTGAGTATAAGATCAAATGCTAATGGTCCTCTCTGCCTAGTGTCCTTCTCTGTAAGGGATCTGGAGCAAAAATAGATATATAGATAGGATAATTGTATTAGGCATAGGTTCATAGAAAATACTCAAAGACGTATACAGCCATATAGAAAAGTATAGATACATATATAAATATTTATCTTGTATAATGTATCTTTCAAATAATGAAAGATTTTTCAAATTGGTGTACGGTTTTCAGAGGTTATCATCCAGCTTTGAATAATCATAATAATTAACAAATTGTGAAAAAAATATATGTATCTAAGTAACATAAATACAATAGAGATTTTAAATATGACTGAAGCCTATTCAATTATTAAATTCAATGTCTATATAATTCTTCATTACAAAATGAAATCAGTATTGTATCACAATTATTATAAACCGTTTAATCATTTATTGGATGTTTAAAAGTAACAATTTATTGTTTATGTAATAATCACATAGAAGTGTAATCTCATGAATTTGCAGGAAGGAAGGAAAAATATTATATTACATTACAGTAAATTTAAACTCTGCTACAATATACGCTAAGTCGCAGGTACAAAGTACTATCAAGATTATAATGAGTATTCCGACATTGAACCAAAAGAGTAATAATCGTAATATAGCAGACCATTCATGCTTATCGCGGCCGGTGCGTGTGAAAAAGTACAAGTGTGAATGTTTGTCCTTGGAATGCTTCACGTGCACGCTCCATTCGCCCTCTACATTGCCTTCGGTCGCCGTATCCAATTCCTAGAACAAACACATATAGAATTTATTATAAAAAATATACATAAATATCCAGTCACGATTGTTATGTCAGATGAATTAATCTGAGATTGTAAACCAAATATTGCCTTCGAATACAACGTGCGAACCTACGGCATATATATACAATTAATTATTATCAGTGATTTCATCACAAGAGAGTCAGTTAGAAATATAAATTAACACACTAAGTTGATGATTTCGGCCATATTCGAATTCAAACTCCGTTTATTTAACTATCTTAAAGTCCTATCCGTCAGACAGGAGTTGGTCTTCAACCGATCCATAAGTCCATACGCGGGTTAAAAATATCCTTCGCCCCTATTTTAGACCGTGAAGACCAGAATGGATGAAGGACGGAACACAGCATTTGACTATAAGATCAATTTACCTAATTAAGAATTAAATAAAAAGAATGATTTATTTAGTTTCATAAGAGAATAGAATCGAAACAATCTTTTATTTAAATAAAATATTAAGTTTTGAGTAGTCTGCTTTTTTATACTATATAAGTATATGTTCACACGCGATAATCAAATTAACGTTCAGCTCAATATTTTCTATTACTACTTTTCAAAGATTATTTTATATCGATACTTTGTCTAAAAATAACAGTTGCACAGATTAAAATAAATCCATTTTACTTACCGCTTCTTCTAGGAACTCCTTGATCCTGCTCAATTCGTTGTCATCCAAATCTTCATCGTCTTCCTTCGTACTGGTGGCCGATTTGCTGGTAAGATCCATTTCCGCGTCAAAGAATGACGGCTCCTCAAAGTGGATCGCCCTCTCTGATGGTGTTTGACCTTCGTTGGGCTCTGTACATGTCGACACGCTGTCCGTCTTTTTATCTATATCGTATACAAGATTTATATTGTACACTACTGACTGACTCACGTGACTTCGTCTGCGCCACATATTGTTCGGTGCTTTATGTTACCATGACAATATATTATGGATAATATTAGAAAATAATATTATGGAAAATACATACATTATTTTTAATTCTAATAGAATTACCTGCTCATAATAGTTATCAAACTTACCTCTTTGTATTTTTCTAACAAATCTATGTCGTAGGCCTTCTTTTCCCGTTTCTCCTTCAGAATGTGATGCACTAAAATAATATATTAATTTTTAAAATATATGGAAGGATAGAGAACATATACTATATTTGGATAACCAAACATTGAATATAATTATGTAAACTAAATGTAACGTAGACAAAAAAGTTAAATTGTTCATTCATATGTTACTAATTCATATGCAATTTGAATGCATTCACTCAATTTGACAATACAAGATTGTGAGAAAAAAACAATTATACTTATTAGATCAATCTAATACATAAATGACTCTGACTCGATAAATCTCATTAAATTAGACTATCATACGCACGGAACCCTAGAACAACAATAGTGAAGAATATCAGTGTTCCCAACGTGGGGCCCACACCCTACAGGGGGCGATTCAAAAATGAACTCTTTATAAAAATGTATTTAGAATTTTAATAAAGATATAGAATTTTAGAAAGGCTAAGGAGGCATGGCTCTTAATAGGTTGGGAAACACTGGTCTAGATAATCTTTGTCGTACACAAAGATACCCGACATGTAAACGAGTAGTAGACAAAAACAATAGTCACTAATTTAATTTGCGACACATTTGAATGATAAGGTGCTGCCATTGTCATTTATCAATCGCATAATGTAAATATACATACAAAGTATCTTATATTTTTATTGTTTGTGCTTAACTTTTGTGTTCATTTATTATCACACCCTAATTTCCTTCTAACCCAATTGAACCACCTACAGTTTCCTTGGACTGTCCGTTTAATATTATCACTAGGTACAATAGCTGGAAAGTGGGAACTGTATATGTTCATATACAGCCCAGTTTTTAACGATTAACCAATGTGACGACGACGCTAGTCGTAGTAACAATTAAGTGTTAATTAATAATTTTCATTAAATATCTTTAAATTATAATAATAAATTAAAACAATTTACATATCGCCATTTAATTGAAAGCAAACCATTTAATAGACATCTGATAGAAATACTTAACATTAACATATAACATTTTACATTTTTGTAATACTCATAGAAAACAGCCAAACCAGTACAAATACGACTATAAGTATTTGTACTGGTTTGGCTGTTTTTTATGAATATAAAATATTTGCATCGTCCAAGAAATCATCGGAGGAATGGTGGTGTGCGAAAATCCGCTAAACCACCGATGTTGTCAAATATAATATTAGTATTCCAATCTTGTTACCTCTTGTCTCGTCTTCTCCATACAAACTTCCTCTTCTTCTCCGGACTAGTGTTAGTGTCAATACTTTCAACTTCGTGCTGTATTTGCTGATCTTTACTTTTCTTATCCGACCCGCCCTCAGCCTTCTTTTCTGCATTCTCTTTTTCTAATACTTGAATCTTCTCTTTTTCATTGAGTATTATACAGATTGGATATTTTTTGCTCCATTGTCTATAACATAATATTTACGTTCAAGTAATCCTGTAAAATTATGGATACCTTACAAAAAAAGAGCAATGTAGTTTTTTTTTATGTAATGGAATAGTTGATGGATCGCATCAGATTTACACAACCAAAAATAATAACATTCATTAAGAAATGTAACAATTTATAACTTGTTAACAAAGTCCTTTCCCTTCATATCATCTAAAATTATTTGAATTCATATTAAAATAGTACGAATGTGTTATATTATTGTAGGTAATAAAGATAATTTAGTATAAAAAATGCATAATCTGTTTGACTATGCTTAGCATATTTAGTAAACAATTTTATCGTTTTATCAAAATTATTCATTTTAAGTAAGACCGTTTTAATGCAATGTTATTTAGATAACATGAAGTACATACTATTAAAACTGTTAAAGAAATATAGCACGTCTCTTGAACAAATTTACATAAATAAAAATGGAAAAGTATGTATTTCCATACTAATGTATACTATTGTTATAAATAGGAATGTAAATATTTTTTTTGTAAACCACACTAACTTGATCACTTCACGGAAAGAATGTATGAATATTTTTAATTTTGACTATAGTCTTTCTAAAAAGTGTTGAGCTGCCTAAAAACTATTTATTGTGTTTAGGCACAGTATCACTACATACTCAATAGATATAAGGCATAAATTATACAGACATACGTAATTGATTAAACAATATATTAATGTACAACAAAAACATAGAACAAAAACATATCGTGTATAGTAGATAATAGATTCGGACAAGTATAGACGGTCATTAACCCAATTGTTTTCGGTTGAGCAGTTCGCGAGCGAAGGTTACCTAAGGCATGACAATGAACGTCTTAAACTAGACTTTAGAAGTAGAGTTTACCCGATAAACGTTGTACTAAATACATAGTTAAGTAACATTGAATATTTTAAATTAAAATAAACATTCTAGGCATAAAATTAAAATAAGTTATCGTTTTTCCTGTTTTATTTATATACAACTTTTATAATTATTTATTTCTGAACATCATTGTATTCAAATTGTCAAGTTAAGAGATATTTTTCTATTTTAATACTTGATTTATACTAAAATTATAAAAAAGAAAAAGTATGATTTCGTTATTTATTGACTTATATTAATAAATAAACAACAAATAACATAAATAAGTCTTTAAACTTGGTGTAAAATGTAATGTTATGTAATGGTATGTTATCAGCGAAGAACAAAGTATTCTACGCGAGTAGCGCCGCGGGTACCGGTAGTTTCTAATTCAACGTAAACATAATTCTGACTGTACAGTTTTAATCCTATAATGTAATTAACAATACATTTTCTTCATCATATGAGATTCATGCATATATTTGGTTAATGTTAGTTTTAAGGAATCTACATACGAGTACAGGGTTGACCTCGCCAGTTTGCTTCTTGTTAAGTCAAACAAAATAAAAACATAACAATATCGTTATCTATTCTATAATAAAGATAGACAGGTGAAATCAAATCAGTAAGAATGTGGAGTTATGGTTTTCACTATTATTCAATTTTAGTCGAAAATATTAATTTTTTTTTAAAGTTTATTTTAGATTCTAATTATATTTTCAGTAAATGTGATGTAGATTTAACTATAAAATTCTGAAATAAGATTTCACAATTTTTTTTTAAAGAATTCTACAAAATTATTGCTATTGCTTTATATTTTAACCAAAGTATCTTAACTTGAAATCGATTAGATAACGCTCCACGAACTATTGCAATGTATGAGAATTGAAAAGAAATAGATGACCATAATGATTTCAACGTAATTTAAACTTTAATTGCAGATGATAAAGCACAAATTTGGCTTGTGTCGCAATAAAAGAAACTAAATATCAAGAAAAAATCAAACTACAAGTGAGGCGAATATCTCTGCCATTTGCAACGCTATTACGAGACACCTATCAAGTGGTATTGCTCATTGACTCAATTGTGATATCTAAGGATACGGACGAATGAAACGCGGTCAGTCCGGATAATTCCAGACCTGTACTTATGCTACGCTTCTTGGGCACCAGAAAGTTGATAGGATGAGGATGAAGTCAAGTTAATTAGCCCATCGCAGTGAATTCAACAGGGATTAGCCATAATACTTTCCAGGGGACTGCATGGAGGTTAATCAGTTAGGCTATAGAGGGACAAGTGGCCAATAGTAAAAATCCTTTATAAATAAGTAACAACTCTTCTAAATACCTTCTTCGCACAAGTCCTTTAGGTAATAATATGACTCGTGCTCCAGTCAGGTTATACAGTCTATGCTGGTAAAACACAATATTTTCAATCTTTTCATCCCACAACGCTTTCTTTGGCACTTTCGTTTTTGTGTACGATATTCTCAAGTTGCAACCTGTTGAAGTTCAATAACAATATTTTAAAATAATAACAGCCATTTCTGCTTGACCAGAAACTCTTCATACTCTTATAATTATACCTTTTAGTTATATACATTCTATACATATTCCAAATGAATATAGTCTATTATAGTATGTATGTTAGGCAGAACGCTAATTTTCATATACACTTGTCAATGACAATAAAATTAAATTACTCACCTTCCAGTTTCATAAATGCTGTTGTTGTCTTATTAATATGGTACGCATATGGATCGTAGTCTGGGAATCTGTAGTGATTTATCCAGCCCTGTGAAAATATTCAATAATTTATAATTGTCGATTATATTAAATACACATAGTTATAGTATACAAAATTGAATCAATAAAGTGTCAAAATTAGGCAACACTAGCTGACCAGCGCAACTTCGTCTGCATAACACTTACTTGACATTTATCATTATATTTCGCCCAATTTACATAATATCTTTTTAAGTTATAGCCTATGTTTTATTCTGATGTATAAGTTATATTACTGTAAAGTTATTAGTGAAAAGGTAACGAACATTCATAATTATAAACTTTTGCGTTTTAACATTGGTAAGATACAATAAAGCAATATCATTGCATTTTTAAAAATTATAATGTGTTTGCAAGAATTTTATATCTTTACATTGTAATACTGCGAATTTTGTCCTAATAGCGTACTAAGGTGTTCCCCAGATTTCAATCAACAACAATATCTCTCTAAAGATAAGCTACGTCATTTCCCGTTACTATATAATCCTTACTAATATTATAAATGCGAAAGTAACTCTGTCTGTCTGTCTCGCTTTCACGCTAAAACTACTAAACCGATATGATTTGATGAATGACATTTGGTACACACATAGATTAGACCCTGAGAAAGGACATAGGCTACTTTATAATGCGAAATAAGGGTTGTAAGAGGTTGAAAGGGGAGATGAAAGTTTGTATGGAAAATCGACATTATTGGTAGCTAGAACAATGACACTTTTTTGTAGTATTTTGGTTTAGGTTATTGAATATTTTTTCTTTATTTGGTCAAGGCCACTATAACACGCGGACGACGTCGCGGGCACAGCTAGTTTAATATAATTGGAATAATAGTTTTGCATTTCTTACCTCATACTTCTTTAACGGCGTATGCTCCTTGACAGAAGGTATAATATACGACACAGGCACAGTACTGTTACATTTCAAGTGGAAGAAACTATTTTTTTTTGGTTCATCGGTAAAGTAATTATCTAATAACCACTGCTTGAGATTGCTAGCAAAACAAAAGAACCATATACCTAATATAAATCCATTCCAAACATTCCATTTAGGAAATAAAACATAGTTTACGAGTAATAAAAATGTTAAGAAATACATAGAAAAATTTAGGAAATAAGTCTTTTGTTTAGGCTCGTGTGATTTAAGATTGCTCTTGCTTGGAGGCAGACTATTTGGCGCGGGCGGCGTTCGTTTAGGACTATTCTCTATAGACTTGGTGCCCTGTAGATTTTCTCCTTCCATATGCGTGATATCGCCAAAACCATCTGTTGTATCTTCTAAAGCCTCAACACCAGACTCTACATCCATCAAATTGCCATCATTTAGGAAGTCTTTTGAAATGTCAGCTGAATCACTGTGAACTGAAAAATATTTTGAGCCTTACTGTCTGGGTAACAGTCATCAAATTTGATTACTACACAAGTATTGTAAGTGATGATGTAAAATGTCAGTAACAGTTGTTGATTTCTACAACAAAATAGAAAACAACCTAGTTTTCTATTTTGTTGTAGAAATCAATGTCTGAATAATCATACCTAAATTTTTGTGTGTATCATCACTGGAATCTGAATAGTTTTTGGTATCGACAGGAAGACTTGATTCGCGTTCTGCCGCTTTTGCAGTTATGGGCTGGGTCATCTCAGACAAATTCTGCATGCTACTATCAAGCGAGGACACCTAATATGTGATAGATAATTACTGAATTAGTTTCAATATCATTGCTTTTATGTAACTAAAATGGCAATCAAGTACGGCAAAGAAGCTGATGGTCCATCGGGTAGTATATGCCAACAATATATATGAAAATCGCCAGGGATACATGTGTCCCCCATAGTACATACCCCTCAGGCATTGCTATTCTGGAAAACTAACATATTATGGCTAAATACCCTCTAATTTCACTGAGACTGACACATCTCACTTTTCAACCATAACAAAGTTTATAAAGAAGCTGGTTTATGGTTCATTTAAATGGATGAGTCAGAGGATTTATACACAGTCTACCTCTATAAATCTATGGCTATATAAGAATCTATGGCACATCAATAAAAGTGAGAGTAGGATGAGGTAGCAGACCAGTGATCATACCTATAGCCATAAATAATGTATAATGGATGTATAAGATATATAATGGAGACATTTTAATATATTATAATAGAGCACACAAAAGAAGCAGGGGCAGGACCAAAAGATGGGAAGATGACATTAGGAAGGTAGCAGGGAAAGTTTGGATTCAGAGTGCAAGGAACCGAACCCTATGGAAATACTTGGAGGAGGCCTATGTCACATGACAGATTGTTGGCATTCAGATGTGGAAAAAAATAAAATAAAATAAAACTACTAAATTATAGACTAACAGGACCACAGTTACTGCTGTGAATTTGTAATGTTAACAGTAAATAAAGGCTTTTATTATTATTATATATATAAATACAATGTTATACATGTATTATAGAGAACATAGATTTGACGAAGGATGTAAACTCTAGAGCTGCACTGCACTAATTTAAGAAATTCTCTGACATTCTATGACAAACAAAAACAAATTTATGAAAGAATGTATTTATTTGTCATTAGTAGAAAAGGTTTGTTATCAATATAATATATGTATAGCTATTGTTCTATGAAGTATGATGGTAATAGAACATTTAATTTATATATGATTAGCTAATGTGGTCTTTACGGTCTTAGACTAAATATGAACATGAATAATATTACCAGGAATGGGAGGTTTTTAAATTAAATGAATTTTTTTACCTGGTTGTCAGTGTCCCCAATGCTCTGCTGATCAGAATCTTTGATGGCTGAATTTTCTTCTGAATCAGACATAGAATTGTCTCTAGGGACACTTTTCTCTTTTGTTTCTATTGGAAATAAAACACAATTTAAGAATTGCTGTATATTAGTACCTGGATAATTAAGAATGCTCAAGATTTTATTACTTTCTTCAAATAATTACACCTCAAGTATACAATCAACTTTCATTGGATTTAAAATGTTTCAGGACAAGTGTTTAAACCTAGACTAAGGTTTTAGCTGTTTGAAAATGTATTTTATGATATAAACTAATATTTTTGTACAATAACTTAAATTGAAAACATGTAATAATATCATTCGTAGACATTCTTCATTATGATATAATGTAAAATCATAAACCACAACCCTTGTAAATTGTTGCCCAATAGGGTGTGATTGTTGATCTATTGTATATATATTGTTATACCACCTACAAATTAATAAATCCACACAGTTAGCGATAAAGATTATATTCTATTGTATGCAGGGTAGACTTATATGTGATAAACTAAAAAAGAAAAATTTGTCTTGTCCAACTGATCATTTTTTCTAATTAGACGAGGATTATATTTACTTCTGGTAACATGTTTAAGCCAGTATACAAAACATCAACAAACACTATTATTAGCAGGTTAAAACCAGTGTTAAAAACTACTTACCATCAACAGACCGTGTCTTCATATCTTCTACTGCCTGAGCTATTTTGAATTTGAAATCATGGAATATCTTCCATGTTTCATTACTTTCTTTTGCATCTGGGGCTGCTTCAGAGGTGCTTCTCTTTCCCAAACGGTTTAAATATTCCTTCATGGGGGAAGATGTCACTTCCTTAGGTGGTTTTGGCTCATCTATTTGCTTAGAATCTACAGGTTTCACATCTTCATTCTTTTCTGAAGGTTTCTCTGCCCTAATAGACTTGAAATATTTTTCTAAAATAGATGCAGACTTGTCACCACGCTTAGGACTAGCATTTTCACTCTGGGTGCTAGATGGTGCATCACATTGAGGTGTGGGAGGATCATCATCACTAATACTATACAGTTCTTCCAGTTGTTCATTATTTGCATTGTATTTAAATGATAGGGATGCATTAGTTGACTTCCCTGGGAAATGGCAGATAAACATTATAATTCTAAAAATATTGGACTGTTAAGAAAATATCTTTAAATGATACATTATAATAATACATTTACATCGTATAAGAAACAAAAAAGATCTAATACGAGAATTAAAGTGGAAATGAATATACTATTGTTTGTTACCGTCTTTGTTGTTAAATATACATTGATGTATATACAAACTCATCAAGAGAACGTACACAACTAGTTTTAAAATTAATTGAATAATTGCGCAATAGTGGGATAATGAAGCAAGTAGATGAGACTTATAAAAATGTGGCCATATGTTGAGCAATTTCGAAACAAATTGTTGTCAACATACCTGCGCCGGAGACCTCCATAGTCGAAAACAAATGACAAATTCCAAATACTACATACTCTGGAAATTGTAAAATAAATATAAAGGAATATCACAATTCACACTCAAAATATTATTCTTAATTATCTCGATTATGATTCATAAATATCAATATTCAATTCGTTTAAAATTAATAGAGTTAGTACTATGAGTATGACAAGAAAATGATAGTAGTAACTAAATTGGTAAACAGTAACTGATTGACGTCTGCCTGACGTAACAGACAGTGACTGCACAGTCACGTCACACGTCAGCACATTATCTTCAATAGTAAATTACTCTGTATGACTTTTTTTTCTTTTTGTTTTTCTTAACCTTTCCACTGATACATTCACCTAGAAGAATACTCTCCTAAAAAAACCTTTGCAGATTTTTATGGATGATAAGATGAGCATGATGTCATGTTAGTTAGCCTCGCGCAGTTACAAATTTATCACGATGGTTTTCAGGGAGAATCACGTGGAGGTCAACCTGACAATGTACCATGCATTGTTTGCAATGGGGACATTGGTCACATCACTATTCCCCCAGGAGTGTGTAGTTTGGTTGATACCAATATTGTCACAGTGGTTGTTTAATTTCAAAAACTTCTTTTATAAATTAATCTTCATTTTATATTTAGCAATTGAAATTTTGAAATACTTTTAACCAAAATATTAATTAATATATATTATTATTATTGAACAACTACATTGATTTAATTAGAATTGTATTTCACTAATAATTAATTAATATTTAAAATTTATTTTTAAATACATCTAAATCCAATGACGGTTATGATATTATTTAATATATATATTTAGTATTTTTATTTAGTTGTCAGAATATAATTTCGAGACAAGAATATAAGAAACTAGCTACTTACAATGGCATCCACAAATACTATCTCACTCATGTCATGAGTATATTAGCACCTTAATAATTTTCAATCCAATACATCTTTTTTAACTCAATACATCTTTTTTGTCAATCAATTCGGAAGTACTCTATGATAATCTCAGTGTTCTGACGTCTGTCGTTTTGATTTTGTCAGGTGTCATATTAGTGAATAATGCAATATTATTAATAATCGCAGAGTACATTTTTATATCAACTTATATTATATTAATTTTAATGCTGTTCGCTATTCTTTAATGTTTATCTATTTTAGTGTTATTGTGAATAATGGGCTGCTCACAATTTAAGTGTTTTTATTGTGATTAATATTGTACCGATGATGAAGTTATTGTTTATTACGTTGTTTATTTTCGGATCTTGCGGCTTTGTGTCGCTAGAGGCTAAAGGCGAACAGGTGAGAATCTTGAGAGCCACACTAATTATACATAAATTGTAGTAAGGAAATGGATTTCACAATTAAATTATTTCATGCTGTTTATCACAGGATAGTACGGAGTTGTCTCAGGTGTTGGATGATCGACCACTTTTATTTGCCACGTTAGGGGGCGGCATGGTTGCTGTGGAACTTCTCACAGGAAATATTATATGGAAACTTAAAGACGGTAATTTTATATACCAATTGTTTCTCAAGGTATACATATATATGTATGGTCATAGATTTTTGATCTAAATACTATATATTTTTATAATTAGTTATTTGAATGTAATAGGTAACCGTAACTAGCCACAGCTTTACTGGCATAAGCATACACAAAAAACAGTAGAAATCAGAATAATTAGCTAATTTATAGCATATTGGGATCCATGACCTGAAAATTATTTAAGTAATTTAGGAGATTGACCCATATTAATATATATATATCACAATATAAAAGAAAGGATGTAAAAACAAAACAAAAGGGTGAATGATACAATTGATAGAAATTTTGAGTAATACTATTAATAATAATAATAACACTGAACAATTCCCACAGTGCCAAGTCCCAAACTAAGCAGAGTTGGCATTATAGGTACTGAACAATTGGTTATAATACATACATAAACTATGATTTTTTAAATATGTAACATACAAAGAAATTTTGCAAATCAATACAAACAATTGTACTCATGTATACGATTGTTTGTATCAAGACAAGAAACATCAGAAGTAATGTGTTATGCTAAACTTCTAGACCACAGAGGCTGTGGGAACAAGAGACTTCGTAAAGATATGTATGGGAATTTAACTTAATTTTTATGTCTTTATAAAAGTATACTATTTGGAAGTAGTTGGATAAAGAAATGTAATATTTATTGTCTGTATGTACATATGAGCAAATTTCACAGCATAACAAATGGCCTATATGCTTTGATGGATTGTAACAATAATTATTAATACACATATTTTTAGTTTAATTGGAGGAAAAGTGCAGAAAATTATGAATAAAAAATACTTAATGTAGTTTTTATATATTAAAACATACACACTACCATATATTTAATGTTAAATTAATTATGGTAGAGTTTCAACCAATGGGTGACCTCTAGTATATAGTTATTATGCATACTATATGACCTCGGTCACACAAACTCAATAATAAAAAGGGGCAATAATATTTTTATATAACCTGTTGTTTAATGCATGCATGAGTTATATAACTTTTTTACGTAAGTTAGTATTGTACTATTGTATTTATGAGGCCTTGTTGCAAATACACATTTCACTAGTGTATTTGAATTTTAATTATTTACATTTCTTTAAATATGACATTTCAATGTTGACACTGGTTTTACTTTGTACTTTTTTTATTGTTTGTAGTGTTTTTTTTACTATACCTGTAAAGCAAGACTTTGGATTAGTCCTTAGGAATATAGAAAATATACATTAGAAAAGTGATATTGTAAAACAAAACACAGCAAGTGAGATCACATTGCGGGTGATGGTGCATTAGGTTTGTTAATAACATAAATATATAAAGCTCATTTTCTTTTCAAGAACCGGTGGTGAAAGTCCCCAGTCAGCATGCAAACCTGATGCCGCAGTTCTTGCCTGATCCTCGGCATGGCTTTCTGTATATGTATGGGCCGCGTGGCGACCAGCAAATGCTTAAGAAATTGCCCTTCACGATTCCTGAGCTGGTGGCAAATGCCCCATGTCGCTCTACAGAAGGCATATTGTATACAGGGAAGAAAAGTGACACATGGTTCAGACTAGATCCTTTAACTGGTTCAAGGGAACATGTTTCAGGTAAGAGTTTTAGTAATATTGTAAACATTACCAGGTAAATTATAATATTCTTTTAGTAGGTATATTCATATCAATATCAATATCATCAATATAAATATATTAAAAATATAACTGATCCTGACCTGTCTGTGCTTGGAAGGTATGAGGAAAACTGTTATTATCAACGTAATAAGAAACTCAAAATATTTTTTTGTCTTTTTGTCTATTTGTTTGTGTGTTTTAGTTGCGATTTTGGACAATGTATAAGCTTATTTAAAATTAGTATTTGTTTTATTCTAGTCGGTTTACAAATAAAAAAGTTATATTATTACAAAGCACCAGGCTTCATTTAGTATGTAATATGAGTGTGACTTGATGATCAAGGACTATTACTTCTATATGACGGAAGGATGTTATTTTTTCTACATTACACATGTTTTCTTTATGTACTGCCCTTGTTGGGAACAAGTTGCCTTTCATTTATATAGTAGTATCTCATCTTTCAAACAAAAACAGCCTGTTATACAAATTGCTAGGTAGCAGTACTTTCTACAAACTATCTCTGTAGTCAGTGTATGTCAATTTGCAATTAATCATGAGATCGTAGGGAGCAGATGCAGTTGTATAAGAGCCATGAATCTCTGGAGTCCTCTGGAATGGCAATATATGAGTGGTATTGCGGGTGACATGATAACGTGATGTATGTAATGCTGTTCATGTATATGCGCCGTTTAGCGCCTACCATCAGGTGTTTGCCTTTCCAATTATATAACAGGAATGCCTATTTGTAGGTTTCGATAAATCCAAGATATTCAAAAGCGACGACGAGGAGACGTGCGGCACAGACAAAAGTCGAGGCATATATGTTGCTCGCACAGAATATAACATTCTCATGCATGACTCCAAAGATTCAAATCAAAAATGGAACGTTACCTTCTTTGATTATACGTCTCATGCTATGGGAAAAGAGATGCTAAACGATTATGGTAAGAAACATATAAATATCTTATAGTTTCATATATTTTTGAAGTAACGCAAGAATAAACCTTTATAACTGTTTACACAAATGGATAACTAAACAACCTTTACATGTCTACATTTCCATGGACATAGGGCGGGTCTACCGTCGAATGAGTATAATTTTTATAGGTGTTGTCATAACCTAGGTAGTCAGTCAGAATTATTAATAGTTATGTAATTTTTTTGATGTCGTCCAGATTCGAACTTCGATCTTTCGATGTCACCACTAAGCTACAATACACTAAAGTCTTATGAAATATGTTAATTTGGTATAATAGTCGGCATCGATTAATTTTCCGTCTGTATATTTATATAATTTTCCATCCATATTTGATTAGTAATATTTACTTTATGCAAACTAACCATGAAGTGAGTGTATTGAATATTCGCATATTAGCTACAATTCATTATAAATTAATATTGCAAGAAATTTATATTATTGTATGTGAAGTTAGACATAGCTGATTTAATTTAGTTTCGTGTAAACATAAACTAGAGAGATTTTTTTGTTTTCCAAAAAATGTTGGCTTTATATTTTGTTACATGATATTTGCCTCTTTTGTCTTTAAATGTTTATCCTCAATATGTTACTTTATCTGGCCCATAATACATTTTTGTAAATCTTAATTATTATTTGAAAAAATCCTACATTATATTTAGTCAAGTTTTTACTACAATCTAAGTACTATTTATAACTATATTTTGACTGCCTAGTTTTTATTGTGTTGTACATATATATTTTGAAGTTTTGTATGTATTCGAATCGATTAATATTTATTTTGGTGATACATAATTTTCCAATTTCCAACATTGGTAATCTCTTTATCAGGCATAATACATTTCACGTCGACTTCAAATGGACGGGTAATGTCATTTGACCGTAAAACGGGCGACCTCGTGTGGTCACATAACTTCGAGACACCCATCGTGGCCGCGTATCTGCTAGACAGGGAAGGCCTTATATCAGTACCTTTCAACTCTATCGGGGATGACACCCTGGATCACATTATGGAGGATGCAAATACATTGAGTAAAGGTCAGGGAATAAAAAACTCTAACATCGAACTGTAGTAAGTACAAATTTATGATCATAGAAATTATTTACATTTAATTACCCATGAATCATGATCATGTTGTACACATATGAGACGTCATAATTTTGCAAATATAATATAAAAGTAAATATCTGTCAGTTACTTTCAATCTGTTTGTAACACGAATTGATAACAAGTGCATTATAAAATTTATCGGATACCTATAATAATTCATAAAATATTTTTTTTTACATATGCGGTCATAGACTACCGTAATACCTATTCACATGACCGCAAATAGGCTGAAGACCAATTTTGATTTTACGGTTACTTTTCCTTTTTAAATAAGTCACGTTATCCTTTTAAATATATTATCAATATTTGTTCGAAATTGTGTAAAATATAAGTAATAGCACTATAAAAAATCGAATTCAGAACATCAGGTTTTATAGCTCGTTGAAAATATTGTCTGACAATATTCTCAACGATTTCAATTAACCAAGTAGATAGGAAATTAACATAATAATATATGTGGAAACAATTTGCCTATGTATAATATCATAATACACTATCTATGTTTTGGAGATGGTTTGTTATCAGATTGTATCAGTTACGTTAATTTCAGCCCTACATTGTATGTAGGCGAGCACAACCATGGCCTTTACGCACTATCGTCACTAGTAGACAAGAATACTGTTACTATATCAACTGGACATACGCAGCCATTGTTGATCGAGGGCCCTGTGTCTGAGGATGCGAATAGCGAAGCGCTTAGACAGGAAGCATTTACAAATGTCCATTATCAATTAAACGACTTAAATTTGCATGTATCAGCACCGTATTTATTGTTGGGACACTACAAAGTCCCTGAACTGACGACCTCCTGGATTCCTCAGCTGCCAAATACGCACTTTTTGAATACGCGCCAACCGAAAAGTGATGCAATCAAATTAATTAATGGGCAAGTTCACTCTGACGCAGATAAGGATGTGGAAAACGAAACTAATCTGAAATCTAATTCAATCAGCGTGTCCGTACAAACAGATGAGTTATTTGAAAAATTAAATTTTAGACCTGATTTATGGTACAAACAGGGCTACATATGGCTCCACCAGCAGGAGAATAAAGTATTGAAAGTGGTCCTCATCATATTGGTCGGATTGGTCATCACGCTGTTTTGGTATCTGAGATATCAGGTAAATATGATAGCGTTGTTTGATATGGATGTATATCAGTTGGTAATTACTCTTATAGAATTTTGTTGTCCGCCCTCCACGCTATTTCACACGTGCCTGCGTTGTATAATGACACATACGGCATGCTAGGATGGAGATTATTTTTTGTAAAACATTGCAATCTCGTTAGTGTAACTTATCGCGTAATATATAAGTCATATTTTTCTTTGCTCGGTTTTCTGCTTGTAATTTGATATGTACAATGATAAAACTGTCAACTGCATATAATCGTCCATTTTTTATAAATAGTCTGATGACGACTCTACTTTTAGATTAGGCACTCGGGTCATTATTTCGTTTTAGGGTTGGATTTGCCTACATTTTAATATCCCTAGCACATTTCAATTCATCCTATTAAATTAAAATGAGGTAATGTTTTAGTTAATTTTTATCATTACTCGAATATTACAAAGTATTAATCAATTTATAGAAAGATATTTGTCACATGAGTAGCTAAAACTATTATTTCGAGTCTCTTTTATACATAAATAAAAATACCGGCACCATCTGGAAAAAAATGTTTTCATTGTAGCATACCATTGGTACAAAGTCAACATCTGTTGTTTAAAATTCACGTCATTCTGTGGGTACATTACATGGTAATTTCCTCTAGTTGTTTTAGCAGCTGTGCTTAATTGACTCATAATGGTGATGTGGAAATTGAAAGTAGTTGAATTTAAGCAAAAGTGGCTATTTAATCAGTATTAATTAATTAGGTATATTTTTATGGATATATATGCCATAGTTTATCCGTCTCGCTAACGATATACCCTGGCAGAACACCAGTGGAGAATGATATGGTGAGGATGAAGATAGGTCAGTTAGCCTATCGTAGCGAAATTATTAGTATATAACCTCAATGCTATTCAGGGGGACCGCGTAGAGTTCAACCTTACAGTATATTACTTGCAATGGGGCCACTAGTCACTAGTGTTGACAATCCTCTTCATCCATATTATTTAGGTATTACAATTACAATATTAACTACTTAATACTATTTTGTACTGTCTGTTTTTCACGCAATAGTTAATAATTTGAGAAAAATATGATTCTATTCAGACGTAGGCCTTATTTACACTATTTCTATTTATTTAAATTTAGATGTTATATGACAAATATCATTTTAGTTTAATTACAATACCTATAAAATAACTTCAATAAATTGATAATGAACAGTAGATTCTATATTTTAGTTATCAAGTGTTTATACAGATATTTAGTTAGTCCTTAATTTTAGTTATGTTACATTCATAACTAAGATTGTATTATTACTAATACGATTGTTGTTCTGGAAAAAACATAATCGCTTCAATGTATTCCATATAAGAATTGAATTTAGAATCTTTCACCGGGTAATAGTATTTGCAATGTACCTCTTCTTAATTCTTAAATCTTACTAATATTATAAACGCGGAAGTTTGTGAGTGTGGATGGATGGATGTTAGTTGGTCATTCACGCAAAAACTATCAAATGGATTTTAATGACATGGAATCAGAATAACATGGAGGCTATAAATTTCACGCGGAAGATACTTGAAGCACATCTCGTTGAAGAATACATGAATTGCTAAGTAAAATCCTTACAAAACTTGATACGTCGAGATGAGTCGACCCTTCGTACAGAGTCGAAATATCGGTATCTCATAAATAACATAATTACGATAAATATCCCGTTTATATAATAATAATGTGTACAATTGTAAATAACCGTAAAAAAGTTTAAAATAGTTTTTATCAAAACGGTACGGTTTCAGAGGTGTAAAATAAAATTGAAATCTAAAACTAGGTACATATGTATTTTGTATTCATCATGTATGCCTATTTAATATTATCTTTATCACGACATAAACCATGAAAAAATATGATTGCTTGTGGCTAACCGTACAAACTATGCCAGTAGGTACATTAATGTAAAACGTTTTAATGGCATTGACGTACCATATATTTATACGGTTATATTTCAATATCTATGTTGCTCATGAAGGTTTCTGAATTACATTGTATGAAGTGAAAACAATATAATAATTATCTTTATGAAATTACTCGAGTAATATAATTTTGGTAATAATATTGAATTAAATTTTGAATAGAAATTAATTAAACTGTTTCTTAAAACTGTTATTAAATCAATAAAAAATTTAGTCCTTTAAATCAGTATTTGTGTGTTCTGTGAGATTTTTCAGATTTATCATGCATTTAGCATGATTGCTTCTCATTTACTTTTTGGCATTTACTTGCATTTCATAACTAACTGGGATATTAAATAGACAACAATTTTATCTCTAACCACGTGGCCGGCCCTTAATTAATTTTATAACATAGTTATACTTTATAGACTAAAGGAATCAGGTATATGTTAACAAAAAGATAGTATGATATCTATAAGATTAACAGTAATCTGTGTATTTGTTACATATAAGTAGGTATTGTAATTTAACCTAGATACGATTGGAATATTCTACGCGTTAGTTGCAACGCGATAAGATGGATTATGATAGTCAAGTTGAAAAACCCGTAAAATGAGACAATTACATTCAATATATCAGTACGCTGATCATATTAAACCATTACACTGGTCATATTAAAGATTTAGCAAATTTATATTGACGCATTCTGTCAACATATTGTGTTTATTATAAAACACAATATGTTGACAGAATGCGTGGGTTTTGATGTTTAGAAAGTATACATGAAGTAAGGTTCCTAATGAGATACATCAAGTGCCAATGATAAGTGAGACAAAGAAAATTAAAGAAAGGTTGGCTGCCTTACTGCCTTAAAAATACGTATGTCAGGCAAAAGATAAACGACATAATTATGTCTTTGGTTTCGTTTTAAGGGATGATGTTAAAAACGGGGACATACTGAAAATAGGAATATAAACACATTTGGTGTTCTGTTGTGTCTGTCATTGGGAGCGAAGTCTCAAATATATGTAAAGCCATACGTCCTTCTCCTCTATTGTCATTATATGTACATGTAATGCGTAGAAATGAATAAAAGTGAGATAAGGGAAAGAAGATGAAAATATATGACTTCTTTAAATTTTATAGTGAAATTCACAATATTTAATAAGGCTATTATTTTGTACTATAATAAGAATAAAACCTATTCGATAACCTACGTATAAAGAGGTCATTCCTTCTTAAAAGGAGGGCAACGCACTTGCTAGGTAACAAACATACACTCTTCCGTATTTATAGTATTTAGGTTATTACTATAAAATGCCTTAAATTAGCCTTTATATTACAGGCTCGCGAGTTCCAGCAATTGTCACAAGGTGGCTCCCGAGGGTCCACTGCCTCGACATCCTCCAACGGGGAAGTGACAGGCCAACTTGTCGAGGTTGGTGACGGGGAAGTGCGCATTGGCAGGATAAGTTTCCATACCGATCAGGTCTTGGGAAAAGGCTGCGAGGGTACCTTTGTGTACAGGCAAGTTTATGTTTGTATTAGAGTTTGCAGTCGTCAATTTAAAATGGTTGTCTAGCGATTTTAAAAAATCATACATATGACATATTATATAGTTATTTTTAAACTTTCGTGTTTAATATACAATATTTAAAATATTAACCGGGTTTTGACACTTGAGATGACTGGAGTAACAGCGATGAAAAAACTGCTGTCATGTATCTACATTGATAGATGACAGAAGTTTTTTCATCTACCGTCACAAGATTGTTCAACGAAACTCGCGACCACGTGAATCGTCGAGATAGGTTAATAATTTAAATCATTTATTTTATTTATTCTTTAAAGCACAATATAACTTCTACAAAGGCGAGCTTAATGCCGTATGACATTCTCCACTTTAGGTATATAGAAAGCGTTGTGGGGCAGTTATGTTGAAAAGCAATCACAAAGTAACTAATAAATATTATATAATATATATGAAATGCAAATAAATATATACATATAATAATATATATAGTACCTGATATTACATAATGTCATACTGAATAAATAAATACATTTATGCTAAGTATAGATAAATATAATACTAATACAATGCAATATAGTTATAACTCGTTTTGGTGACTCAAGAGAAAATTAAATAATTTCTTTTTAAAAATGGGCTTATTCGATGCTTAATAATGTATGACATATTATTCTTTGGAAAACATAAAATATAGCACAAGCACTGTTTTTCGGGGCTTATTTTTATGTCATGTGTTGCTATTAAGTGCAATGGTCTAAATCATTCTGCAATAGTAATAATTACAATTGTAATACAATATTTTTTTTATTGAATGAAAAATATTTCAATTAATATTAAAAATGACTCTGGACAGTTCACATAGAGCCATCCCAGAGAATACAAAAAAGCAGAGTAAAAATACTTATATAATTTTTTTTTGGAAATCCTTACATAATATATTTAGGAAACATCCAGACTAATACATTCATACTCATGAGTATAAATGTTTTGCATCGTGCAAGGAATCGAACCCGCGCCCATCGGGAGTAAAGCGGTGTGCTAAACCGCTACCATCGAGGTTGTCCTAAATAAATACAGCTTCTATAGGTAATTGTATTATTATATAATTATATATTTTTAAATAATTCGTGTTGTAGGGGTACATTTGATAAGCGTGACGTAGCAGTGAAGAGACTGTTGCCTGAATGCTTCACGTTCGCCGACCGCGAGGTGACGCTGCTGCGCGAGTCGGACGCACATGCTCACGTTGTACGCTACTACTGTACCGAGCGTGACAAGCAGTTTAGGTATGTTGCACATCTATGAGACATAAATATTTGAAGTTTAATACTCGTTAATGTAGAGTTTGATGCCGTTCTAATTCTCAAACTAGCGTGAGCTGTATATCAGAAGTCAGTTGCTGCCCAATAACAAGGATTTTAAAGTGTTAAGTTTGTCATGTATACCATACTAGTGACCTGCTTTTGCTTCGCATTGGTATATGGAGTATGTGACAGAGTTTGTGTATGCATTTTAATTATATATCAGTTAATTATGCCAGTAATTTTAGAAAGAAGTAACTAGCTGATAGTTATAAAAATATGTGATGAATGGTAAAAAATATAAATGAATATTAGTTATTAACATAATTTGTTCATCAAGTCGCAATATATAATCATTATTTCTTTTATATTTCAAGGTACATTGCATTAGAGCTGTGCTCAGCTACTTTACAAGACTATGTGGAGAAAAAGTTAAATTTTGAGTGTCGGATAGATGGTGTGGAAGTGTTAAGACAAGCTACTATGGGATTGTCCCATTTGCATTCCATGGATATAGGTATGTACACTGTTCATATTATATTTATACCTATTTAGATATCAAATGCTCAAATCAATCAATCAATCTAAATATATTTATTCATTTAGGTCTATTCAAGCAAAGAAGACAAGAAATTCAGCTGTTATTCATTTCAATGTACATATTTACAAAAATAACGATTCATTTTTATATCAAAATTAGGGAGAAAAATCTGACCACTAGCATATGCTATTGCAAATATTCTAATCTTCTGTTTCTTCTGTTATTCTGTTTCTCTGGAATACTCCATAGAATATACGCTGGCGTCTTATTTTCAAAAGTCAGTCAAATATAAAAAAGTTTAGTTATTGTAATCATAGAGTTAGATGTAGACGGTAAAAAGTCGTCTACGCTGTTACCTCGGTTTCGCCTATTTTAACTGCCATGCGAATTACTTTGTAAGCTGTTACCATTGTAGGGTGTAGATTAGGCAGTAAAATTATAGGATTAGAGGCATGGTATCTTAGTCCTCAAAAATGCCAAGAAATGATTGGTGTCGCGGGTGTCACCCGATAGCGTCATGTCCGTTCATGTATATGGGTCATGCTTTTGCCATTCTATTCAAACATATAAATCATTATCTATTTCAGTACATAGAGATATAAAACCGCACAATGTATTGCTGTCAATGCCAACCGGGTCTGGCGAGGTGCGCGCTATGATATCAGACTTTGGTCTTTCTAAGAAGCTGAACATCGGCCGCGTAAGTTTCTCTCGCCGCTCTGGAGTCACCGGCACTGACGGTTGGATAGCGCCCGAGATGATAAACGGGGAGCGGACGGTACGTTACTGTCTATTAATCTCTAATAATAACACATAACCCTAGTCTTTTTTGGATGAACTGTGTGAATGATGATATGGCAAGACAGGGAGTAAATAACAAGATGATTGCGAACAGGGATGAATGGAGAAGAAAAAGATTACGCTGACCCCAAATGAATGTTATATGGAGGAAGCGGCAGCAGCACTAGTGCTAGCTAATAGTCTACCTACTTGCCTTTACCTCACTCTTCTCTCCAAAGGTCAGTTCTCAGTCTCTATTTCAGTCAGCCTTGCTTTGTATACTGTGTAAAGACTAGGTCTTTTTTTATGCACAAATGAATGACTAACAAGCTAGGTAGTCCATCTGGTGGTGAGTGGCAACCACAGTGAATATATAAATGAATACCACCATGCTTATCACATTACCACATGATGCTTGTGATGCCACTAATGCATTGCCATTCTGGGTGACTAAGATGTTCTGTCTCCATAGCCTATAATTTCACTGCTTTGTCTCACTCTTCAACCGAACCACAGTATACAAAGCAAGGCTGACTGAAATAGAGACTGAGAACTGACCTTTGGAGAGAAGAGTGAGGTAAAGGCAAGTAGGTAGACTATTATCTTGGATATTATCATTACTTTGAGATTAAATGGCAACACAGCGCCATTTAGTCATATAATAAACAGATCTCGTACTAAATTACTGGTGACTAACTGAAATTACATGCATAATATAAGTAGGAAATACTCACATACCAAATCAACGGTCATTTTCTAAGTTGTTGATTCGGTTGAAAGTTCTTTGCAACATGTTATAAAAACATCTTAATAAAATTGATAGTTTATATTTTATTGTAACATAAATTTCTCAGACTATATTTAATTATAATTTAATTGAAATGTATTTATTTATTTTAACACTTTATTAATTAATTAGTTAAGTGTGAATAAAAATATGTGTTATATAAAAATAATTTACACAATTTATAAGAGTATATATACCAGTAATACGGCAAGTATATATACAATTGTAGATATATTAAGCTGCTTTTATAATTAGTCGTATATTTCATCTATTGCAGACTACATCAGTAGATATATTCTCATTGGGTTGCGTATTTTATTACGTCTTGGCCAAAGGACAGCATCCCTTTGGTGACGTGTTGAGAAGGCAGGCGAATATACTCACAGGCGACTACACTTTAGATCAACTAGAGTGAGTAATATATTTTATCTATTTAATAAAGAATATTTATCATCTCTATCAATATGCCATATATGTGTTTATGATGCAGTATTAATATAATAAAAAATGTTACAGTCTTTTGTGTAGTGAAATTACTTTTAATTATCATCTCATTGACAGTAATGAATCTATACTCCATTCTAATAGAATGTACTAAGGAGGTAAACAAAGTGTTTTGAAATTTATAACATCAGTACTCTCTTAATAGGAATGACATTTATCCGAATCTTGAGGGTTTTAATTGCATGTAACAGTATTGTATTCACTTGGATAATAATATTAAAGGCATTTTTTTTCTGTTATAACTTTTAATAGGTACTCTGTATTTATACTCTTTCAGTAAAATGCTACCAGATGAAGAAGTGTTATTAACGAAAATACTGATCCGTTCTATGATATCAGCGAAGCCTCAGGCACGACCACCTTGCGAGACTGTATTAAAGTATCCCATGTTCTGGGGCAAGCAGTGCATCCTTAATTTTTTGCAGGTAGGATATAATTGTTTATAGTATATCTTTCAGAATCGTATGAACTTAATATAAAATCTTTTATATCCGTTTTGACAAATGTCGAGTTAGTAACTTTATTGCTACTCCTAATTGTCTTTACTTAGCTAATTGCATTTTCTTATAGCTATTAAATCTTTTTTCTGAGTTAAAATGTCATACATGGAAACACAGAGACGGTCTTTTACGCACTGATTTGTTACACATAGAAATCCAGACCAGTTAGGTGGATGCAGACAATTCTAAATCTATAGATACACACACATCGCATATACAACATACAATAAAAAAAACATTTTCACATTTGTTCGTATGGAGTATTGTCACTCGATTGTTACGTCGGTCTGAGTTCTAGCTGAATATATTTCGGGGCAGGATGTAAGCGACCAGGTGGAGAATAGCACCGGCGGCGCTGCAGGCGCGACTCACCCGGTGGAGACGGGCGCACGTGGTGTAGTGCGCGGCGACTGGCGACTGCACGTGTGCGCCGCGCTGGCAGGAGACCTGCGCGCGCGCCGCTCCTACCGCGGAGACCGCGCCGCGCACCTGCTGCGTGCCATCCGCAACAAGGTGAGCCCCGCCACCGCCGGCGACTGGCGCCTGCACGTGTGGCCGCGCACCTGCTGCGTGCCATCCGCAACAAGGTGAGCCCCGCCACCGCCGGCGACTGGCGCCTGCACGTGTGGCCGCGCACCTGCTGCGTGCCATCCGCAACACGGTGAGCCCCGCCACCGCCGGCGACTGGCGCCTGCACGTGTGGCCGCGCACCTGCTGCGTGCCATCCGCAACAAGGTGAGCCCCGCCACCGCCGGCGACTGGCGCCTGCACGTGTGGCCGCGCACCTGCTGCGTGCCATCCGCAACAAGGTGAGCCCCGCCACCGCCGGCGACTGGCGCCTGCACGTGTGGCCGCGCACTTGCTGCGTGCCATCCGCAACAAGGTGAGCCCCGCCACCGCCGGCACCGCCGGCGCACTGCTGCGTGCCATCCGCAACGTGTGGCCGCGCACCTGCTCCGCAACAAGGTGAGCCCCGCCACCGCCGGCGCCTGGCGCCTGCACGTGTGGCCGCGCACCTGCTGCGTGCCATCCGCAACAAGGTGAGCCCCGCCACCGCCGGCGACTGGCGCCTGCACGTGTGGCCGCGCACCTGCTGCGTGCCATCCGCAACAAGGTGAGCCCCGCCACCGCCGGCGACTGGCGCCTGCACGTGTGCGCCGCGCTGGCCGGCGACCACGCATCATGTCTCACTGATATAGGACATTCAAGTAAAAGATCTCCTGCCAGACATCTTATTTTCTGATTAACGAAATGTATGAATAGTATGTGTGTGTATTAGTGATGTGTGATGATATGTGCTAGTTTGAGCATTTGTCCATATTCCAAGTATCAGGGAACGATGGTACACAATCTTTGCCCTATTATTCCAGGGATCTTGTTCTATTCTTCTTATGATACTAATTGATTTTAATGATTTTTATTTTAGAAACATCACTATCGGGAGTTAGAACCTGAAGTTCGAGAGAAACTAGGAAAGCTACCTGATGGTTTCGTAACGTACTGGCTACGACGGTTCCCTCTGCTTCTGCCCCACGTGTGGCTACAGATGCAACCGTATCGACATGAGGATCTCTTACAAGGTTACTATCCGCATTCATTTACATTTAACAGAGAAGATGTCATTGAACTTAGTAATGATAGTAATTACGAAGAAGATTTAGCTTTAGAGCTGTGTGATTCTGAAAAAAATGATTTATTCGTCAAAAGCAGGGTATATTATGACGAAAACGATAGAGAGAAATCCTATAGATATTATAGGAAAGACGGCTCGCCTCAAAAGCGTGCCGATTGGAGAAGTGAGGCCAGAGATTTCAAAGCGAGACAAGATGATGTCAGATTAAGAGATCGACATCATTACAAAAAGAAGGAGAAAAAGAAAGAAGACATCCCAGTTTGGACATTGCCCCATCAGTGATATAATTAAGAGCACAAACGTAAGTTTATCTGATCAGAAAAATAAGAATTGCTATCAGTTGTTGCGGGCAACACTGAGCATGCCATTTTAATACATGTTTGTTAAGCTAAAAGTTTCTTTTTTCTGTAATAGAATATAGACTTTGTTAGGGACAAATAATATAGCCATGCCAATATAAAAAATCACAACTAGCAAGAACACATGACTATTTATAGTATTAGTATAAAGGACTATTGATTGCTCTTGCTGATTCATGGACTATTGGCTAAACTTGTTTACACATAGACAGAAGACTGTGATTTCTTTTACTGTCAATTACAGTAAAAGTTAATTTAATTTCTTTTACTGTAATTGTGATTAATACTTCTAGCTGTACTATATATTTATTTAGTTATAATTAGGTTTGTTACCGGTGTGTTGTTTAAACACCAGGTACTCGTTGAGAGGATTCTTAAAAATCGACCTGGACCGATCGGAACTTTTTGAGTGGTAAACTAGGGAGGCCCTTCGATAAAATTTTGGTTTCCATTGGTCAAGCCGTTTCGGAGCCGTATTGTTACAACGAGCGAAAATCTGATCTTTAAGATGGCTCCGCGTAATAAACACAACAAAAAGTAACGTAACATGAATAATTTTAATTTTTTTGATCCGATTACAATAATTACGCACAGTTTTATTGTTTACATGTGATTTTTATCTATCAATATACAAAATTCTCAGAAAATTACGTAATAATATAAGTGATAAAAATGTTTTGTACTTAGATCTCTATACTGTTTTATAGTACAAGATGTGTTTTCTTTGTTTTTTTTTTACGCTAATTTATAATTCATAATGGTATGAGTAGTTGGGACCAATTTTGTAGATCGAATAATTTAAGAATTATGTTAGGAACATTTTCTTCATACTCTAATACATCAGGTGAATATTTTTTGTTTTATTTAGCATATTTATTTTATCAATTGAAGTAAAATGTAAATGAAGTTATTAAAAGAACGGTTTTAAGTAATTTTTATTTTAAAATGCTTTATCTAATTTAATTAAATAACAAATTATTGAAATTATTATTTAAATGTCATTAAAATGTTATGAGTAATATTAGTCGTAGGGAAAAAATCTAATCAGAAACCAAATCGCAATTGGATACTATTTATTAAGATTTGCTGTTAGATTTGTTTCAAGAGAAGTTTTGACATTCCTATATATATATATATCTATACTAATATATTGAAGTACGATTGTTGGTGCTATGTTGATTGTAAAGCTGGAAATGTGCAAATAGAATAAGTTTAACGTATAGTTGTAAAGAAATATTAATTGCGCACAATATTGTATATTACTGATTTTAGATTTGTCTATTATACAGAGTTATGTAAATTATAAAATATTAAAACTAGTTATTAAGACAATAGATGCAAATAATGTTATATCGATTGTACTTAAGTAGTTCACTAACTTATTTATTCAATCTGTTAACAGAGACTTGGTCCACGTGGATTAGGATAAAAGTATCTTATATATGTAATATATGCTATGGTCTGTCTTTATACATATTTAATTAAAATTCTTTAAGTTCTAATTAAGAAATAATCCTGTCCAATTATTATAACAGTGTTGGAAATTGTAATATTTTTATTATATATGCTCTCGTTTCATTCTACTACATCCCACAAGGGTAGGAGACTCTAGAGATATAGTACATACATACACTGGTTAAATTCAAAATAACTAACTCTTCGAATTAATCGGTTTTTTATTAAAAATAGTAGTTCGTAGTGTATGGATTATGTTTTTAGTTATTTTGTACTGCAGAAATATGAAATGGACCACCTTTAGTAGATAATTTGTAAAGCACAAATATTTTATTTAGAGTACTAATCATTTTATTTCATTATATCATTTTGTGAATGTAAAGGACGATCGAAAAAAGATGGATGGATGGCGTTGAAACTATAATGCATAAATGGAGATTAAACTCGCATATGACGCTCTAAGAAGACTGGTGGTAGAAGGTGACATACTGGGATGAATGCCATAAGACTTCTAGTGAGTATAGAGGTAGACTTTGTAGAAAGTCGTCTGCGTGGATATTACTCTTTCAATTAATTTAGCAGTTTGCTTTGTAAGTTATATTTCTTTGAATGTCGATGACATAAGTGAAATTACAGAGCACGAAACCATGACACCTTTGAAATGGTGACGCACAATTGAAACTAGCGTATATAATAATCTAGTAAGTAATCTAGTAAATCACTTGTCAGACATGAATTTTTAATTGTCAATGCCGCGTGCTATTGTCAGTTATGCCACTAAGGATTATTTTGTTTCGTGGTCTCAGTAATTGTTATATACATTTGTCTATTTTTGACCGCTTTAATGTATATATACGTTTATTGTTTGTGATCAAACATATAAGTACCTTAATATGTTTAGTAAACATATGTGTAATTATAGTATGATTATGATGTGTCAATGAAGTATACTATTAAAATATAGTTTTAAATAACGATAAATCTATTTTGTCTTAATATTGATATCAAACCTATCATGTCAAAACGTCGTCGTATTGAGATGTATAATGAAGTCGAAGAACTCTTTCTTGTAAAAGAAACGAATTATTTTAAACGTTATAATTTAGGTTAAAAATGATTTGAAGAGCTGTTCCTAATTAAATCGTGTTAAATTAAAAGTGAATGATCGTTTTAAAGTACAATAAAAATAAATTCGGCATTCTCTTTTATAAACACAATAATCTAGTAACATTTTTACGTTTGGGTAATACGAGTATGCTTTAGTATAAGGAACAGTGTAAGGATATTTACAAATGTAGGTTTCATTGGCTTTCGATTCTCAATATATGGCCTACGTTGTAAGGGATTTTTTTGTAAATAGGTAACTTTGTACATAGTTTAGTATGACATAAATTTAAAAATTATATTATATACATGTATGTATACATAATATTATTAATTTATATCACAACAATGCCGAGATCATTATGGATTTTGCTTACCTATAATTTTTTAATAAATAGGCACATTTCTATACATAGTCTGTGTATGTTCTTGAAAATAGATTTATAAGATTTAATTAATTTAAAAGAAAAATATGCACAGATGTGATAAATGCTCAAAATGTTTCTATATTTGTATTATGAATGGAATAAAACATAGGTAAATTATATTTGTTTTTTATTTCAAGAACAGTTATTATAGCTGCTGTATAACTGCATTCTCTGTGATGGGATAAGGTTCGTAGGTAGTATAAAAAATCCAAAATATAAAACATTATTTATTGTCGACTTCAATTGTCAATTATTTATAAATAACTACATTCATACATTTGTGATGTTCCTAATTTAATTTCATTGATAGACAAAACAATATTATCAACAAGATATACACAATGTTAAAAGGTTAATAAGTCAGTCTTTAAGTATAAAAATAAAGTGGGTTCGGTACATCATGGCACGAAGAAAACATATACTTTTGCTTCTCAACATTTTGGCTTTTTACAATCATAGAAAAATATTACTGTTCTGTGCTATAATACCTCCTGGTAATAACGTATCGTAATGTACGTAATAACGTGGTATACCCCTGATAAATTTGTAATAACGGGACCTTATCTCATGTTCATTTTAAAATCCTAAACTGGTGCCCTGCCAGTGTATGTTAGTAAAGTAGGTGGGTGCACTATAATATTATCTATAAAAAAAACAGATATACATACTAACATTAATAGCATTGTTGCATCAAGGAATATATGTAGACATGTTATTGAAATAAATACTTGTGGAACTAGTGTTAAAACCGGTATGACCACATATTTAGGTAATATTCATTAACAGCATTGAGCATGTATAAGTGCCTCATTGTCATTCCATTTAAAAATGCAATTTTAAAGATTCGAGAGTTTAAGTGATGAAAAATTCCACTAGTAGTAGACTAGGACAGTCCTGAGATTTTAATTTGAGTATATATAATATTAATTTAAGAAGCAGTTGTACTGTGCAGCAAGAACTATGATTAACTTTTGATTTAGCTACTAATAATATAATACTTTATTAATACCTTTGTTTTTAAAAATTGAGAGTTGCTAGACTTTGGTAAGAAATGCTTTTTAAAACATAATTATAAACTTAAAGCTAAAATATTAAGAATCCATTTTTCCCTTTAAGTTGTTTTAATACTTACCCCTATTAACTTTTGAGCAGATCTTTTACATGCATTGTTTACATAAAGCATTGTAAAAATAACCTATTAAGATAAAATAATAAAAGGTAAATTAGTTTTAAAAGCATAAAAAGTAATTAATTAATTTCACAATCTTTTGTAATATTGGATGTAGGTGTAGTGCACCAAACATATAATTACTTATTAAGTATGATATTATATGATTTATATAAATTTATTACTTAGTATTAAAATATCATAGATATTTTAATATTAAGTAATAAAATATCTCTTAATATATGCGTATTTGCACAGGTATATTATACTACCTATACTTTATTTGTGTATTTTTCTATTAAATCAATTATAGTTAAATGCACTTTATCTTTAGCTACAGTTAATGCTGACTTTTCAGATCCGTTTAACATACTTGTGTCAGGTTTATAACTAATCAGCACTTTGGTTGCTCCAATATTACCCATTTCACTTGCATTATGTAGTGGAGTGTTACCCATTGAATCTATAGCATTTATATTAGCACCATTGTCCAGAAGTATGCGGATGACAATAATTTTGTTATTCAATGCAGCTAAGTGTAAAGGTGTTTGACTTTTTTTATTAATACAATTTATATTAGCTTTGTTAAGTATAAGTATATTGCATAACTCATCCAATCCATAGCGGGCAGCATAATGTAATGGTGTAAAACCAAATGAATCAGAGATGTTTACATCAAAGTCATTAGTAGCTTCACATTTTTTCTTACAAGTTCCACATTCACACAGGGGATGGCACAAAACTTTGGAATTTTCGGTGTCTATGAAAGCTTCATAGTCAATTTCCATATAAAAACAAGCAAGCTTAACATCTCCATATGATATAGCTTTTAATATTCTTTCAATGAGTTTTAGATTTTCTACAGCTTTTGATGATTTATTTTTGTTTGATTTTAGATATAATTTTTGTAACTTAAGACTTATGGCATTGTCAGATTTACAATGCAGTGAATTTATATTGGAACTAGTTATATGTATATACTCATATAAGTTAGGTGTACATGATTTCAAAACATTCAGTATTTTCAGATTGTGTGCATAATCAAAAGCTGTTTTATGATTTCTGTTTTGCAAGGAAGGTTCAGCTCCATTTTCTATAAGTAACCTGGCTATCCCTTCATATCCCCATTTGGAAGCCAAATGTAAGGGTGTGTTGCCACTTTCATTGACACAATTTATTATAACCTTTTTTCTGCTATGTTCTGCAAAATATATTAATGCTTTAACACAATTCATATGTCCATTATTGACAGACAAATGTAGTGGTGTGTTCTTGTCAATGTTAGTTTGATTAATGTTTGCCCCAGAGTGTAATAATAAAAGTAAGGCATTTTGGTGTCCTCTGGATGATGCATAATGCAGTGGTGTACAGTCATTAACATCTGTAGCATTGATATTTGAGCCCATATCTACCAGAGACTCCACAATAGTTGCCTTACCATGTATACATGCTATATGCAATGGTGTAAGGCCATGACTGTCTCTAGAGGTTACAGTGGGAGATGTTTTCAATAGATTCTTTGATATTTTGGAACAGCATTTTTTACAGTTACATAAGGGATGACAAAGTTTGTGATAAATATCAACATCATCATTATCATCATCATCATTTGATGTATCACCTTCTAGTGTTATTTTTAGGATAGTTTCATTATGTTGAATGCTTGTTAAATGTTTTTGATTTCTTTGCAATATAGATTGTACTTGTTCTGAGTGATTAGCTTTAATTAATTCAAATACGTATTCTAAAGTTTCATCTTTATCATTTGTATCAGATGTTGAAATAGACTCTGTCAGACTACTCTTCCTTTGATTATTATTAATATTCTCTTCAGAAAGACTACTTTCATAGTAGTAAGCTTCAGGGTCTGGGGGTCCTGCTAAAGCTCCTGACTGAATATGTTCAATCACAGCTTCTAGGGTAGTTATGAGAAAGGCACTTTCATCACCATCACCTTTACCTACCCCACTAAAACGAAACTCCTTCATAAACATAAGTTGGCTGTACCAATTTGGCAACCCTGACTTAATTACTAGAAAAACAAAAACGGGCAATAAATCATCAGCAGTTAATAGAATTACATTATTACTTTTGTCTATTTCAGTAATTGCATTAAGGGCTTGCTTTATACATAACACTTTTTCTAAAACGGTTTGATAACTATCAATTTTGGATAAAATTTGTTTTGCCTTAGGAACTGCATGATACAGCTCCTTTTTAATATCCAGATCTCTTAACTGTATGTCACTCATATTTCGAATCTTTTTATTAAGATGAGAGTCTTCATATGCACAACATGTACATATTGATTTGAACAGAATATCAAATAATAGTTGCTGCATATAACATTCTACAGCTAATTTTATATTTTCAAGAACCTGTTTACAAGCCTTAGACTTTTCTCGAAGCCTTCTGTTCTGTAATGCAATTTGAAGGCACTGAGTGTATAGCTCACTAACAGCATCCCTTAAAGGACTCAAAGCTACAGGTAAAGTAGGATTTTTTTTCAAAAACGTTTGAATAACATGTTCAATTTGATCAAGGACTTGACGACCAGCTGCTTGTGTCCAAAGTAAATCAATACAGTCATTAATGGAAGTGAGATAATCTTTATATATGGTATGATCATCTGTTATTGAGGCTGGTTCAAGAGGAGTTTCAATACACCATACTTTATATTTGATGAAATCTTCAGTGTAAAATGTCTCTTCAAACAATATATGGCTCTGCAATGGAAGGCCTTTTGTAACTTCTAGAGTGATCACTTTATTAGTGACTGTTACCTGTTTCTCTGTAAGAGTACTATAATGTGTCTCCGGGAGTTCGTCGCTAGGAACTAGTATATGTGCGCAAAAATCTTCTATGGTAAACACACGAGTGTTCAAACTGCCAATACGCGGCACACATATAATCCATGACTGCGCGATGCAGTGATGAAATAAATTCATATACTTATTTTTTAACTCGACAAAAAATGGGTTATCCGAGAGGATTTCGTCGTAGGCTCCGTTCATTTTTCTGAAAAGAATTAATAAGGAATTATATACGAAACATGAGGCTATGGCGACTTAATCTTATATTATTCAACATTCTTCGGCTTACCTAATTTGAATATTACACGTAAACAGAATAACTTATCAATAAAGTTTCACGCAACAAAGTAAACACTAAACTGAAGTACAGACGGCACGGATCGAAACACATGATTAGTTAAGTAAATTAGAAAAAATATATTTTTGGTATAGTCAAGTAAAACTAGTATCAAAATAAGAATATGACATGACATCGAACGAATGATAGGCATTACTTGACAGTGACAATCAAATTGACAACTTCATTGTGAATGTCATTCATTTTATTGTCACAAAGAATGAGAACATAATCACATTTTATTAAATTATATGTCTTTATGATGTACCCACCTTTATTTTGCTTACGTGATAAAATCCGTTATGAAAACCCACCCCCCTATTGGTGAACGTGTACTGTTGGGTTCCTATCGGCTATAAACCTTACCGTATTTCCTTTTTCGCTATATTGCCAGGGTTGCGTGTAAAGTTAACATTCTAGGCACCGCAATATTGGTGCCGGTTGCCCGCGGTTATTCCTCAACGCGTGTGGTCAACTCTTTCCTATTACGAGTCCTCCACCCACCTACGGAGAGAAACAATGGAATACGGGTTGTGCACGTGCATCTGACTAAAGTGACGTCAGTTAGCCCATTATGGCGAATTCATTAGGAATTAATAAACCATGATAGTTTCTAGGAAGCGACCGTGGAGCTCGGCATGTCTTGGTACTTATCTACATTATTAGCAATAGGGTTTTCATTATTCGGTATTAACTGGCTTAAATGGACATATTTCAATTGTATATGTATATTGACAAGTATATTCACACCAATAATTTTATTTCTAAAAAATGTAGTAACAAGTAAGTACCACTTTCATTATAGTAAGATGCCTATATATTGTTATTAAAAAAGTGAAAATGTTTACATGAAATTTCTTTTTATTAAATGTGAAATGTGAATGTGAAATTTTTATTAAATGTAAGTAAGTACTAAGGAAAATTTGGCAATTGTGAATAATTAAATTAAAAACAGTTTTCTAATGAAATATTTATTATAATTAAACTGTAGACACATTGAACAGTCATCACAGTGAACGTAATATAGAGAGAGAACAATGACATTTTTATAGACATCGTAAAATAAACAGTTTATAATTATATTCTATCCCCTCCCGCCATGTCCGCCTCCAAATCCACCAATACCTCCTCTACCACCTAGTCCGCCTATACCTCTGCCACCGAAACCTCTGCCCCCAAGTCCACGACCACCAAATCCTCTTCCCCCAAAACCTCTACCGCCAAATCCTCTGCCATATCCAAAACCAGGTCCTATACCAAAACCACCTATCCCTACAAATACTGGTAAAGGATATGGACGATCTGAAAAGACATATAAAATTAGTTACACAGTTCAAAACCGTAAATTATTGCTGGCAGAATGCATTATGCGTTTTGTAAATCTTTTAGATATTATTCTTTTTTAATGTAATTCTGATTATGGATGCATTTTAGGATGAAACACTAAAAATACTTTTTACTTTTTCTTAAATAATTTAGCTCCAGTCACAGTGATTGTTAGACCTGAATCATCTATGTACTTTAGTAATAATTTTAATAATTTTTCCATACTAAACTATAATGTTTGTTTATCTGCTTATCGATTTCTAACCAATGAATTTTTGGTTTGTTGTATTGATAACGATGTTAGTTGTTTCATTGACCATGAAATATGCATTGGAATTAGTTTCGAGTAAACATTTAGAAAGGCTCAGTGTTTCACATTACTAACAATTATCTCTTCTTCTTCGATTCGACTATTTACCTTTTAATTTTTAAATTTAACAAAACATATGGAATTGTCATACTTACATCGTCTGTAATAGGGATAGTAATCATAATAATATTGCCTTTTTGTTCGTGACAATGAAACTTCGGAGCTCTTATTTCGATTCCCAAGATTAGTTGATGCTGCAATTGGATTTATTTCTTCATTTGTTTCTTTTGACAACTCCTCATTGGTACTAATTTCTGTACTCACTAATATTATTATTATAAAAATTGAAATTGCGTAATTCTGAAAGAAAGAATTTTACATACTTAAATTGTAAGTCAATCTTAAATAGTGGAGAAATATATTAGGTACTTACCTACACCTAATATATTTCTCCACTAGTCTAATTGTGAAAATTAACTAAATGATTTATTAAATAAAAAAAATACCAAACATAATTTTTATCAAACATTGTTATTATTGTAATGATATGTGAACTCACATATATTTCCATATTTGTACGATACGTTTTCTTCTGAGACTGAAATAGAATACTTTGTTTTTGTAATATATAGTCGCCGGCACGTAGTTGCTAATTGGTAGTTACCTAGTTGTATGATGCTGTTATGGTATCCATCAACAACAAAGTCATTCATATTTATAAAAGTAATATTTATCTGAAAATTATATAGTAAACATAAGTGTAAATTTTGGCAGACTTTCCGTGACATTAGTAAGCATGACAGGTATTTATATTAATGTTGGGTTTATCCATATTACAAATACTACACAGAAACTTGCCGATACAAAATATCTCCAAACAAGTGGTCTTATAAATGTATCTAATAGCATTGTTGCAAATCGGAGTGGGTAATAAAAAATACGCCAAGATAATGTACAGTGTGTGTACCTAAATGTAAGAAGTATCAGCTAAAAGCATATTGTAAGAAATTTGTCTGGCAAATATATGAAGACCAATTTGTTGACTTGGTTTGGCTGTGGCACTCTTTCCCGGCTTAGCCAGACTTGGCTGAATTTCTATGGTTTTAGGGAAGGATGTAGCTTGGCATGCATGCTTGGGTCTGAATACTTTTTATTAACATTTTTCATCGTTCCTCTTGTAAACAAAATTTTTTTAATATATAATGATTGGGATAGCAGTATCTAAAATGTATTTCAAATTGTGAAACATAGTGTTGTGATAGTCGGATAGAGTTGCATCTTAAGATGAAGATCTATTATAAAAATTATAATAAGAATAAGTTGTTGCCGTACCTTTGTTCGTTCTATAATGGATATTCTTGGTAACCCCTTGTTTTATATTTTAATTTCACACTAATCCCAGAAAATTCTATACTTAGGAATTATTCGAAATGTCTAAATTTTAATTGATTTGTGACTAATCTTTACGTTTTAGATTTATAAACTAAAATAAAAATTTACTCGTCAATTCATATCCGTTGGGATAATAATATATTAAGATTAATAATAATCGCGCCCAAATTTAGTAAATATCATATCAAGTTCGTTCGGGTACAATACAGTTATAGGTAAATTAGTACTATAATAAAAGGTTATTAAAATTCCTCACAGAATTATGGGAAATATGTTCTGCGCAGGCAAATCCACAGTAAGATCATATTTCTTTCTTACGTAGGTAGGTCATATAAATTACATCGCCAATTCTCTTCTACACTTCAGAAATCCTCTCAGTGTAATAAGTTATGAGTATATGCTAATCGTGGCTCTTTGATGTTGTGTCTACCCATTTTTAGGGTTCGGTAGGTAATAAACAAAGCGGAACCTCATTAATTTCGATAAGTATACCCATCCCTGTCTGTCCGCATAAAAAAATTTCACAGCAAGTTCAATCGTAAAACTTTACAGAAAGTTGCACGATGTTGCACGTAAAAATTTCAGTGGATTTTGCTATGACTGATATAGTTTCGTTGTCATGTTCGCCTATTCAGAACTATGGCCACAGTATTCTTAGAATTTTTTACAGGCTCATAATTCCGTTATTAAAATAATTAAAATACTATGTCGGTTTATAGAATTTTATACAAAATTAGCTACTGAAATCTCTTTATTAGGGTCATATTCATTTGATATTTTGTATTAGGTCCATATGAAATATCATTAAAAAATTGACAACATCATTTTCCAAAAATTAATTTCATAACGACAATATCATTAGAAGTGCACACAGTATGGATCTATTATTGAAATAGAAATATGTGGCCATTTAAATTGATAAAAATGAAACGATGCAAGAAATAAAATTCTTATCAATATTTTCCAAGTCCCTACCTATTTTAGGTGATTAAATGGGATGACGATGTTACGTTGAGCTGGAGGTTTTCTAATATTATGTAAACCCCGCATAACTTTGTTACGTTTTCCGACACTCTAGGGTCGAGACGAGACGAATAGAATTATGTGCAACGTAAAAGGGTTCGAGGTGATTGACCGTTAGAGGTGATTTATCGGCCCATACGTTTTTAGAGAGTCATGTCTTTGTAATCTATATTTCCACGCCGGGTCCCTGATAGGTTTAAAGAAAAAGTATTCATTTTCTACGGCCATCCTTTGCAATTGCTATCAAGCGTTAGAATAGAAAAATATTTAAAAGCCGACTTTTGATGCCATGATAAACAGGGATCGAATATACAACTGCCTGAATCGAGATTCGAAACGTCGAAGTCTTTCTGTCAAGCAAGATTTGGTCTGTAACCCGCGGAAGGACATCTTTCGCGGGTTTGAAGTATTCTCTGTAGACGCCCATTTTTTTTGGTAACGCTGAGCCAAGGCGTTTGCAAGCATTATTTAATAAAAATCATATTACATAAAATAAATATGATTTTCTTCATCCCACAACATAATCTATGCGAACATATATATTTGTAAAATTATACAAAAATATAGAAATGTTAATAAATGTTTCATAATTTCAAATGGGAAGAGACTAATGTTTCCGTGGTAGCCTTTACTATACTTGCTATTTTGTATTAAAATAGGTTTTAGACTATAAGTCATTCGGTAGTATAAATTACAATTATTATTTAACTAGGTACAGCATAGTATATCTTATACAACTGGTTTATGGTGCGTTACATAATAGATAGTACAATGTATGGAGGGTTAAATTTGGCCTAAAAGGGATGACTCTATTACAGATCCGAATTATTTCGAATAATTATTTAGTTTAGAAATACTTATGTGGGAGATATTAACATACTCTGTTATTATACGGGTCATAATTATGGCTTTGTCTCCTAACTCTCAAAGTTTCTCTTGTGGACACGTAGAATGGCCGACATTTCGAATTTCATTCCAGTTAGTATTAAACTTTCTAATGGATTAATTTCTGGATTTTAGGGTATTGTTAGATCGGAATTTGTGTTTCATTCCTTCATTGAGTGAGCTTCTTGTGTATCTTAATGCTACGAATATATAGTCAGGTAATAAATATCTGAATAGGGTAATCCTTGAATTTAAATGGTTAGAAATGGGTTTTTTTTGTTACCGATTCATCGAATTGTGGAATTCCAATACCATCCCAATCCCGAGTGCATACTCTAGGTAACAACTGAGTGTAGCGAGTTCATCAGGAATTAACTGTGACTGTTTCCAGGGAGCATGTGGAGGTATATGACTAGTCATTGCTAAAAGTGGGTCCAATATTATTATTATTTAAGAGTATTACTGATAATGTTTTTACTCTATGCAATGCCTTGCATAAAATAGGTACTTATGCGTAATACTGACCGCTATCAGTATTAAATGTCACAATCTTGGAAGTAATTATATCTACAACTATTACAAAACGTCTATAAGCATTTAGGGGAAAAACTTGATCGAAAAGTACTAGAACATGTCCACTAGTATTCAGGCTGCGAAAAGCAGAGAATTTGGGGAAGGCCTATACACAACGTGTAACCAAATTATCTGTATTCTCTATCAAAATTGCCTGCTATATGGAATTGCTAGTTATATATGTATATTAGCATTATAAAAGAATTGACTGTTATTAAATTATGAACACATACAGACACATATTAGTCATAGATACTAAACTTTCTTCACTGGGTGTAAATTATATTTATTTAAATAATTCTTTATTTACATACTTACACAGTTTATCGATTTCTTACAGTACCTAAATTCAACTTTTGTCCACATACAAAGCAGTAAAAGCTTTTTTTTAATAGCTGTTGTTTATACAAAATGGAATATTTGCAAATGCATGCAAATTTTACAGGTACTTTTTTACATCATTGGCGTTAAATTTCGTTATTATCATAGTTTAGTAACTTTCTATATATATCTAGTAGGTAATAAGTATTTTATATTTAAAAACTGTCTATGGAAAATTATGATTAGGTACATATTGGATTCCATCGAGGAGGTTCAAGAAATCGTAGTATGTAATATTAACATAGAAGAGAATTAATATGTCAATATTTAATAAATTAATTTTGTATCTAAGTACTTGCAATTAATGCGCACGCACAAGAAAATATTTGAATAATTTTTTCCGTATAAAGCTGTGCCTTTTTATTTGAAATACCTATAATTTCTTTGTTAAGAAACTCGTAAGTATTCCTTAGATTTATACGAAGCGCCGTGGCTTTAATGGTTGCGTTCATTAACAATTACAAAAGGAATTCTTTGAAAATGCCACGCTTGAGGTACTCCTGAAGAAGTTGCGAAAAGAAAATACGTTTTAAAGCAATATGTTGACGACTCATCAGGATCGTACAATAATATTGACAATCGTAATTCGATCATATCAATTATTTTGTAAATATTATTGTTTTCATACATACATATGTTCAAAAGTTAAAAGGATTTTCACGGTATGTATGCGTAAAAACAAGACAATATATTTTTTATATTTACTACCCACTTATATGTATAATACATACGAATGGATATACCATAACCTAGATTTTATTTAATACATAATGTATTGAATGAAAGTATTCCTGACCATAATTTGTTTGCTTTACTCATTTAAACCCTATTTAAAACTACACTTATTAAAAGTACACTGAGACATATTTGTCTACCTTTACCGGAGCGAACCGGCCTTAAATTTTATCAATTTATTGTTTATTTAAAATTTCAATGCCGGGATATGCATACTTCTAAAAATTATTTTAAACTTGAGACATAATCAAAAATAAAAACTTTGAGAACCTATGATGCAATAGAGATGACAAAATACCACGTGAGGCCTAGTACATATTTTAAGAATAGCTACTCCTATGCATGGTATGTTTATTTATTATTATTAAATTAAACAAATAATAAAAAATAAGATAATAGAGCCCCAGACTGTTATTTGTTTTTTGGTATTTGAATTTTTTTTATCATTCTTCTATCCTTATCTGTTTCATATTTCTTCATATTCTCTCATCATAATCACGTATTAATGTCGTTTCTACTCGCATGCTTAGAGCAAAATACACCTACAATTTGTCTCTGAGGAAATCGTATCTATAATAACTCGTAAAGTCATAACTAGTTTCTAAAGTAAATCGTCATCGTTTAGAATTTAGTAAAATACTCCTTTAAGTTGCTGTGTAGGTAGATTCTGTGAATGGCCGATTCGTCCTGTTAACCTGAGTGCCGAGATATAAATAAATGCTTT